AATAATAATAATAATAATAATAATAATAATATAAATATAATATATATATTTAAAATAATAAATAGAATTAGAGTATAAAATATCATTATTAAATTAAGGAGTGACTTCATATATTTAATAAAACGAGCATTGCAAGAAAGAAGCGATATTAGTGTTATCTTAATAGAAATTTTTTGTAAAAATACCCTTGAATATATATTTTGAAATATATCAAGTAGCCTTTCAATAAAGAACTAATTAAAAAAAATTATTATTTTCAATATTTAACTATTATATTGGAAATTCATCATAAAATTACTATTTTATTCATGTAATTGTTTATTAACTTAGGAATATTTAGAATCATTCTAAATTAATATAGGTTGAACAAAAAGTAATAAGTATAGCTTGTTTGAATCATTGAGATAAAATTAACTTATATATGCCTACAATTTTCTATTTATTAATTCTTAATTAGAGCCCAATTACTTGATGGTACTAATATTTTATTGTATTTTTGGAGTTCGATTAAAATATATTATTTTATTTAAATGTCAAATATTGAATAAGCAAAAAGAAGAAGATCGAAGAGAGGAGAATTATAAGGAGATTTTAAATGTACATATGATGGATGTGGAAAGGAATATTTAAGTTATCCAGCACTATACACTCACATCAAATCAAAACATGGTCCAGAATATATTAGTGAAATGTAAAGACCAAGAGGATAAGGGAGCAGAGGAAGACCTAGAAGAGACGATGTAAAGTTTTATCTTATCTAGTTAAATACTAACTAAGCCATAGAATAACCACCATTTTATTTAAAAGTACAAATAGAAGCTAAACAATCTATCGATGATTTTTTACTTGATTTGGTTGGAGATAAATATAAACAAATTCTTTAAGCAGAAGCTGACATGATTTCAAAGTATAAATCCCAATATTATTTCGTTAGTTATGATTTAGAAAGTAGAATTAATTAAGTGTTTTAATTTATTGAATCTAATATAAGCAGTAAAATTGAAGATGATTCTTTTATGATCACTTTTGCTGATGTTTTAAAAAATGAACATAGATATGAAGCTGAAAATGATATTATAAAAATTGGATGTGATGAAACCATATGCCTCTTTATTAAAGAATTATCTTACACACTTAATTTGAGATTTTTACAAGAAATAGCATATTTTCTTTTAAGTTTTAGAAATTATATATTTAACGATCATAATATCAAATCATCTTCTGCTCCATTATAATTTGGAGATTTGATGAATAGTTTTATGCAAGAAAAAAGTAACTATTTTAATGATACCCAATTATAATAATTTTATACCGAACTTCAAGACTAAGATTAGTATTTTTTAATTGTATGATAGAATATATTTAAATAAAGATAAAAGTGGAAAATTGTAAAGAAAGATTGGGCTTCATTTTTGCACTTGGTTATTTCATTCAAGATATACTAGATAATTAGTGTAATTAAAATGAACAAAGGAAATATTATTCATTTTATATTGTAAAATTATGTATATAATATTCGATTCAAATCATAAGTGAATAATTCAAATATTTATTCGAAGAATATCATTTCCTGCAATCATCTCCAATAAACTTCATGAATGCTTTTAAAAGCCACTTCAAAATGTTGTTATTGTTCTTTCAAAAAAAACAATAGAAGTTATTGAAATCAAAAAGATTATTTAAAAATATTTTAATTAAAAATGAATAAATTTCTAATTTTAGCAGAGTTTATTCACTTTCTGTCATTTGTCTTGCTTTATTACAAAATTAAGAAAACTAGAAGTTGTTTAGGGATATCATATAAGACTCAAGAGATATATCTGATAGTTTTTTTAACAAGATTTTGCGATTTGAATATACATTTTGAAACTATAGATTATGTTCTGAGATTATTTTATTTAACTTTGACAGGCCTTTTAATTTACACTATTAAATTTTAAAAGCCTTTTTGTTTGGTATTTAATATTAACTAATTTTATAGACATATTAAAAAGATTAGGATTAATCTTAATTTTATTTATACATTTATCCAGCTGCATTTCTCCTAACTTTAATATTTCATACAGGAACATCAATGACTTAAATATGTTAATCGTTTTCTATATGGTTAGAAGCGTTAGCAATTTTACCACAAATGAATCTAATGTATAAAATTAAAGACGTAGAGAATTTAGCAGGATATTATGTTCTCTGTTTAGGAGTTTATAGAGGCCTTTATGTGATAAGTTGGTATTGTAGAGTGTTTCACGCTGGTTGGTGGTGTTCAACTACAATTTTTGGAGGGACATTAGCAGTACTTGTTTATTCAGACTTTGTTTATTTATTTTTTAAAAATAGAGGAACATTTAAAGTTATTGTTTGATTTATTAATTTATAAAATAAGATTTTTAATAATTAAATTACCACATTATTTAATTTGTTTTTACATTTTTAGTCAATAAAATTATAATTATTGTTTAAATTAACTATTAATCTTGCTTTTATATATAAAGCCATTAGAGATTCTCATTTGAAAATCCTTACTTATAATAATTTTAATATAATTTAGTACTTATATATAAGATCCTTAAATTAAGTATTTTACATTTTAATTAGTATGCTAATCTACATAATTCAAATTATACATCAAAGGATAATTAAGATACATTCGAATCGATCTTAATAATAATATCTTCAGCTTTTGATTGAAGTGCTCTGAGATAATTTTTATCATAGAATTATTTATTTCTTTTAATAATTATTAATTAATTGGAAATTATATTTTTAATTGTTTAAGATTAAGATTAAGTGATAGTATATTAAAATATAAATTCATTAATTTAATAAGATAGAAAGCTTTAATAAAAATTTAACTACAAGAATTTATTGATAAAATTAAATTTTTTATTATTTATTTAAAATAATATCCTCAGTATTGCTTTTGATTTTCTGCTAACAATTAAAATTAAATGATAATGTCTTTATAATTAGGATGTATTTATTAAGATAATTTTATGTCAAAGATACTAATATCTAATTCCATTTCAATAAAATATTAATTTAGCTTAAAACAATATTGACAACACTAAATCATGTGAAATAAAACGTATGTAATTTGACTATTTTGCTTTTATATTAGTTCATTAATTTCTTTATGGAGAGAATCATTAAAAGTATTTTAATCTAGTTGATTTGAAATCATTTTTTGAATTCTTTTATCACCAGATAATATCTATTATTTTGCAATATCATCAAATTGTAAATCTATAATTATTGATTATTATTCTGATAATTCTGATAGTTACTTTAACTAAATTAAATCAAGTTATAAATCAGGGTCATTTTTATTAATTTAAATTTATAATTCTAGTTATTCTTTAATTGATTCAATCATTTTTTTAGCTTAGTAGCATAAAAGTACAGCAGCAAAATGTGCTCTCATTTGAATTTTAAAAATTTCCAAAATTGTATTTGAGAAGAAATAGAAATCATTCATTTTTTTGTTAATTTGATTAATTATTTGATTCATTTCATTTGTTTTCCTATTTTTTTCTTTTACATCAACATCTTCAATGTTTTTTTATTGTATTTCCTCAAATTAAAAATTTTATTTATTTTAAGATTATTATTTAATCTCTTGTTATTATGGTCTAGCATAAGACATCAAACGCTATTAGGTTGATTCAATCTCTTTCTAAATAACTTTTTCAATTTTATTTCCTTCTTTTTGATAAAATTCAGCATGTTCTTCCATAATAACTCTAGCACTTTCAATTTAAATCCTACTGATTTAGCCTAAAATAATATAAAATAAAAATTACTAAAGATTTATTTCTCAAAAACTTTATGTTAAGTGATTTTTTGGAAAGTAATTCTTTTGTTTGGATCAAATTAAAGCATATTCTAAATAAGATCCTTTGCTTCTTCTGATACATCAATTTTATTCTTTGTAAAATTTATCAAAGCTAAATCTATACTATTTAAATACGCTAAGTTTTTAATTTATAGTCTTTTTAACTAAATGGAAACCTTCCATATAAGATTTAATAAAAGATGACTCCAACAGAAAACATATCTGATGATAAACCATAAGAATTTGAATTAAGTATTTCTGGAGCCATTGTGTAAAGTGATCCAAGCTACAAACGAGATTATTCATTCTAAATATTTATTTAGAAATTACTTCATTTTCCAATATTTTACAAAAACCTAAATCTGCAATTTTATAGATAGAATGATTATGGATTAAAATATTGGCAACTTTTAAATCTCTATGAATAATGCAAGCAGCATGTATGTCTCTTAATCCTTAAAGTATTTATCGAAGTATCCCTAAAGCATCTTGTTCTGTAAATTGAGTCTTTGGATTTTTTATCTATTATTCTAAGTCTCCAGCTATTAATATTTGTGCAATATATTACAATCACAATACTCCATTACTAAGTAATTATATTGATTATCTTGAAAGCAATCTACAAATCCAACTACATATTTGCTTTTAACCTTTTGTAAAGCCTTTTATTCTGATTCTACAAGTTCACCTAAAATTCCATCATTCTCTGCAAACCTTTCAATTTCTATTACCTTAATGGCCACAATTTCTTTATTCTTCATACTTTTACCTTAGTACACCTCCTTTATTTAGATATTTTACATTTCCAAAAGCTCCTTATCCAATAAGTTTAATAAACTTATACCCTTTGATTTCTTTATCAATTAAGTTGTTCATGCAATTAAATTAAATAATAATATATAATAATTTATTATTACTACACTCACCTTATTTAGAGATATTTTTTAATACTTGTTTGAATTTCTTTTTTTTTATTATATCGATGATAATAATGTGGATGAAATATTCTCGTTATGCTTAGGAGAGAATTTTGATCAAATTCTATTATAAATTATTATTATATTAAGAAATTTATGAATTTAATTAATATTATTTTAAAAAGTAATTGATATAAAATAAATAATTATAGAAATTGAGACATCTCAATCGATTTTCTTTTATCTTATTTTATATGATACTTTTTATGCATATATTATTTTTTATTGATAATATTTACTTAGAGCATTTCTTGAATTGAATTTGTTTCATATTTTTTCTCTTTAGAATCTCATATTTTTATTATTTTGTATCAATTTTTGAATGAAATTGATTAATTCAATTTATTATTTTTTAGAAATTTAACAAGTTTTTATTCCATTAAAAATAATATCTTTTCAATATTCCATTTAATTTATTATTCTATTATGAAAATTAGTAATTATTATAGCTAGCAAATGCTCAATCCATAGCATCTTATAATCTCTATAGTTTATTTCATATATATATTCAAATTTATCCTAATTAAAATTAGCTTAATTCCTAAATAAAATTACTGTAAATTAATTTTATTTTTTAGAGATAATTCTATAGTTAAAAAATGATCCTTTATAAATTCGGTTTAATTTTAATTACTTGATTAGATTTTATTAATAAATATAAGTAAAATTTCCTATGGCTATTTTTCTAATATTTAATATTCTATTAATATTTTTAATTGTTTAAAATAATTTTATTTATGTAAAATGTAAATTTAATCAATTAATAGCAAAGATTGCAAAACCATGATCAGTTGAATATGCTAATGTGAGTTGATTTCCTATTCTTCTTCCTCCTCCATGAGGATGATCTAAAAGATGACTGAATCGTTTAGTATCTTCAACATCATGACTATCTGTTTATCTAAGATCAATTGTTTCTGAAGGAGAAAATCCTATCGAGTGATTCCTTACTAAATACCAATATAATTCATTGCTGCTTCTGCTTTTTCTTGCCTTTGATTTACTGATTGTTTCTTAAAATACTTCGAAAGCATAATCACATGCCATTAAAACAAAACGATCTGGTTATTTCATATCTATACCACCAATACATACTATTGCTTAGTGGTTCAATTACTATTAAATGTTATTAATTTTGTCATAGGTAAATTTAATTGAAAAATCATTTAAATAATATCGTTTGAATCCAGTCAATAATATGAAAGGAAAATCCATATGAATTTTACCTAATAATTCCAATTAAGCATTATAATAATGACGATTAATTTCTATTTTTTCTACTACAAATTTTCTCACTTCTTCTAATGCTGTTTAAAACTTTAAATTGGCTTCCTTAACTTATTCATTTGTTTCTAAGATTTAAGCCTAAATTTCTCTTGTATTTATATCTTTTTTCTCTTAAAATTAATACTTATCTTTTGAATAATTTTAAAATTTAATATCTAAATTAAAAATCATTTAAGTTTGATTCTAAAATTATTATTCTAAATTTTCAATCTATATTTTTTAATTATTATTAATTAAAGATTATGCATTAAAGTGATCTTTATAACTTTTTTATAATTCTAATATTTCTATTTTTAATTTTTAATTAAATAATTTTATGTACTCTATATCTTTGATTATTTCTTCAAACCACTTATTTTTCATTTCTTCAATTTAATTTTTTGTATCTAATTACAAAAGAGTCATTTATTCTTATACTGTCTATTTAATCTATTCAATCAACTTTTATTCATCCTTCAAAACTACATTTCCACTAGAATTATTCGATTAAAAAATAAAGTTACTGAATAAAAGCATCAAAATAATGATAAATGTAAATTTTAGTAACTTATTGATATTGAAAGGTCTCTCTAAAGCTATAACTTTTTCTTCCAATGCTTAAAATTTTTTCTTTTAGCTATCAAGTCAATATTATAATTATATACTTTTATAAAGTTTCATAGACATTAAGATCTTTTTATTGAAGGAATTTGTTCACAGTTGTAAATAATTCATAAAGTTTCTATTAAATATTTGAATTATATTGATTTTCATTGGAATGAAACAAATCAAATATAACATTGTGATTTTCTTAATTATAAAATTGAACCTTATTCATCAACTATTACTAACCTCCTAAATAATTTATAAATTTTGTTATTTCATTCTCTACTTTTTAAACTATTTCCTCTAAATATTCTGTTGAATGAAATGGATATTTTTATATGTATTGAACTTTCTCCTTCTAAAAGTCAATAGCTTTTTGCTAAATTTAATTTAAAAATAATGTTCTTTGCTCTTTCTTTTAAAATACTTTTAACATTATTTATGACATTTCCATAAAATCATCAAGATGAGAAATTTTCTATTTTTTATCCCGATGTAATTTTGTTAAACAAGGGTAACAATGTAACTACTTTTTATGATCAGCCAAACACTACTTATTTGTACAAATATATTCTTCTTTATTTTATGTTTAATTGCAAGGTTTATAAACTTAAAAAGACATTGTATATATGTTTTTAATTGAAAATATTAATTCTTAAATTTATATTATATAAACTTCAACAACACACCTCATTTTAAAATTTCTCATTAATATTTAGAATAAAATATTGAATAAACTAATAGATAACCCTATTAAAATCTTTTTTAAATTGGTATTACAATATTATTAAAATTATATAAGAAATAAAGTACATCTTATTTCAATATTTATTTTATTTTTAATCTATTTTTAATACTTGTATTGGTTTAAATTCTTCTAAATAAATTTAAATATTATGACAACATTCATTATATTATAATATTATAGATCAATTTAAAATCACAATTCATTATTAAATTAAGGAGTTCTAGAATAATCAGTTTTTTTTTCTTTTTTATTATATCTTGGATTATAATTATCAATGTGTTAAGTTTCTAAACATTTATAGCAATCTAATTTCTTTTGTTTATTTATAAAAATTGAATTCAAAGATCATTTTTTATAAAAATATTAATTTTCAAATAGATTTTTATGCTTTTTTTACTTTCATTTAATGAGAAATTATATAAGAAAATACATCAATAATAGAATCAGATTCATGATACCTAGAATATTAGTTTAACTAATTCATATATACATTTTAGAATAGTAAAATAAAATAGAAAAAATATTATATATACTTTCAGGAATAAAAATATCATTATTATTATTTCATTTGTTCCATTTTCCTTTAAAGCAGTGTTTATTCCAATTTATCTTTTTTTATTTACAATTTATGTTGTTACTTTCTTAAATTTAAATATGTTTATAATTCTTCATCAAATTATTTATTCAATATTATAGTAGATCCATTTAGATCCTCTATTTTTTCATTACTTATTTCATCTAACTAGTTAATTTATTCATCTAATTGGCGGACTATATGATATGGATCCAATCTCTTTAACATATTTAATAATTTTTATACATTTTGAACTTTTTTAAATTCTCTATCCTTATTAATAACATCTGCTTTTAGACTATCAAAATATGCTGCTAAACTTATCAATTCAGCCTTTTAATTTTTAATCTTTTTATCCTATTCAATTAGATGATCTACAACTAGTAAATAATTTATACCAGCAAAATTTTCATTTGTTTTTCCCAATTCTATTATATATTGAGTCAATAATTTATAATCTGGTAATTTTTCAATATATTCAAGTAACCTCCCACTTTCTATTATTTTTTTATATTCTGTCACAGGAACATTTTAGAATAAGGTCTTTAAATCCACTTATTGAATTTTTTGTATAATTTATTCCTCTTTTATTTTATTTTTTAAATTTGCTAATTCCTCAATATAAGGATCTTACTGAGGTTTAGTATATAAGAATAGCTCTTTGATATGTAAAACAGTGAGTTTTAAGCTTTCTTTGTTCTATACTTTAATTTACCAATTTGTTTCATTAATGATCTCATGTTATAAATTCGATATAACAAAAAAATTAGCTTAACTCTATGGAAAATCTTTATTAATCACTCTTAAATATTATTTCTACAATTACAATTTAATTTAAATATCTGGAAGAATAGTAATTAAGTATTGCTCGTAGAAATCTTGGTTTACTTTGTCATGCAATGAAGTTACTGGAAACAACTATTAAAGCTCCATAATTTATTATCTTTTATCCTATTGAGCCTTATTAATGTTGAAATTTTGTTGTTGATAATTCATTAATAATAATAATTATTTAATAATTTATATAATTCACTAAAATGGTTAACATATTATTATATTTTATTATATTTATATTAATTATAAACAAATAAATTATATTATCATATTTATTTCATTTTTTATATTCATTTAGAAATTAATAATTACAATTTAATAATCCTAATCTTAAAACTAGTAGAAGATAAAAGGGAAATTAACCTTCTATTGATTAGAGTAATAAAGTTATCTTTATAATACGTATTAATCCATTTTTAAACATAAAAATATCATAATCACTATAATCTTTAATTATTATTTTTTTTGATCAAAATTCCTATCCAATATATAAGTAATGCATTGATGGAAGGCATTTTTTGGTTTACCCTATTTATTTTATTAAAAAAGTAAATCGATAAGAAAGCAGTGTAAATTAAGAATTAAAACTTGAAGAGCCTGAACATAAGATAGAAACTAAAATAGAGAATAAAGAGCATAAAAATGATGATACAATGGATTTTAATACTTATATGTTTCCAGGACAATCAAAAAATTATTACAAGAACATAGGAAATTAGTTTGCTTCATTCATAATACATCATTTCGATAAAACAGAAATTATAAAGGACCCAAAGATATCAAAATTCTTAAAAATACAAAAGCAAAAATATACAAAGATGCATTTTTAATAATTAATGAGATCAAAAAGAGCAAGATAAATAATCAAAATTTACTTTGGGAATTACCTATGGTGTTCTAGTATTCTTAAAAGAATGAAATCTGATGTAGAATTTTACCTAAGTTTGAATTAACAGATATTTAGGAGAAAACCAAAATAAAAGATAAAAACAGAGTTTAATAAATTTCCAGGAGAGAATTGAATAATTAAAAATGAAACTAATATATTGTTTTTATTGTTTTAGCCAATATTTGTAATATAAAAAAGTTAAGAAAATTTATATATGCAACCTCACCAATATTTTAATTTTCCATTTATATTATTCTTTGTTAAGCAGAATTAAAAGTAAATATTATGAAACAACATAAATTAACAACTTTCAATAAAATATACTTGAGGTCTTAACTAAAAAAAAAATTATTGAATTCACATACTATATAATATTTGTAATTATTTGTTCATTAATTTTATAGATTCCATTTAAATTCAAATTCTATATTATGAAAACACTTATAAAGAGTATTAATACAAATATCTTGGAAATCAACATATGAAAATTAATTAAAATATTACCAGAAATAATATAAAGAATTAAACTGAATCAACATAATTTATAATTTAGATCAAATATTATTCCTCTCTCTCTCAATTTAAAATTCTATTATTAATAATCAAATTTAAATATTTTATTTTATATTCATTATTTATAATTTATTTTATAAAAATATCTTAGTTAATGTTAAAATTATACAAAATGAATTCAATATTAATTTGATAAATATATCATTAACTATTTGGATAAGGATAAGTTATAGAGTCTTGAAATATATACTTTGTCTAGAGAAGTTTATATTTATAGAAATGGCAAACAATAATTAAACTTGTACATAAAACTTAATTTTATTTATTTTTTTATTTATTTTCATAACTAATAATAAATTATACTTATTTAATTATAAATATTAAAGTATAAAGAATAATCAAAAAATAAATAAGAAAACTAATAGAAACTTTAAAAATATTCAAAATACAAAAAATTGCATTAATAATTAAACAAAAACTAGATTATATAAATACCTGATAAATTTCACATTTTTATTTCCATAATTAATGAAAATTAATATAAATTCCGATTTTAGGGATACTAGAAGTTTTTATTATATTATTTAAGATTTATTTTATGATATTATAATTGTCACTCCTAGCTATTTTAGGAAATGCCTACTAATTACTAAAAACAATTGAACTAGAAGTAATCAACAATATTTCAGAAAAATTAAACCTTGAAACCAATAACGAAAGCTTGCTTTTAGCGTTCTATTTTGAAAAAGCAAGTTATCCTTTGGCTCTAGTCTCAAATGAGAAAATTATTGACTCAGATTTCAATAGGACAACTAAACCAAAATTTATTGAGAGTAGAAAAGAAATTTATTTTGACTATGAGTCCATATAGACCCATAATAATATACATTTAATTGAAATTTCAAAAGGGAATGAGGTTTATTATTATATTAGAAATGGATTTAAACCTTTTAAAGTAAAATTAGAAGTTTATTCGAAACCTCACTCTACATGTATAAACAACTGTTAAGGTTATTCTTTAAATAAAATAATTCAAAATGCAAGCTGCACTTCAAAGTGTGAATGTTAGAGTGGATATTTTGGATCATACTGTTAATTTGAACTATAAAATATTGAAAAAGATGTAGAGTATGAAATTCAATTGATGGCTCGTAAGATTATATATTTATCTTACTAATTCAATGAATAGGCTGTGTTAATTGCAGAAGATGTGAATGAACCAATAAGTAAGTTATTTTTATATATTTAGCTGTAAGTTTTGGAATTTTAGGTTTGAAAGGTTATGAAATACCTGATTCAACATCATATACAGCTATTTTACATAATTAACTTAGTCTAACAAAATTGATGCAAAATTTACATTCATAGTTTAAGAATTCTTCAACTCTGGTAATTGGTTTGTAATGTAAAACTAATTAAACATTTAAATTACGTATAAAATAAGAATAAATTCCAAAAATATGGGATGGTAATTGGATATTTTTGATTTTTGCATCCTTCAACATTTTTATTATAATTATTTGTTTTGGTATTACAAACTTATGTAAAAAGAAGGATATTAAAATTAAAAAAAAGAAGATTAAAGTAAGACCCCCTCAAATATAGGAAAATCCAAAAAATTTTAGTGGATAATTTTTCGATAAATACTTTGAAATATTTGATTATGAAGATTTCATTAAATAAAATCAAGAATATTAATCAAATACATAATGTGTAGTATGCTTAGATAATTTAAATCAAAAAGAAATTAGTGTAAATATTTGTGGACACATTTTTCATCATCTATGTTTAAAGAAATGGTTGATGAAAGTGTTAACATGTCCATCCTGTCGATAGTAGATTACTTATTAATAAGTGATCCAAGGAGGTTGGATAGGAAGTAAGCTTTCTTAAAGCCCATTGCATCCTAAATCTAATCCAAATTGTTAATTAGTTAATGATAGTAATATACTTATTGAGAATAATGATAATATAGCAATTGTTGATAAACAAGATAATAATGAAAATTAGGATTCTTGAAATATAACTATTTATTGTTAAATGATTATTTAATAGTCTTAGATTCTTCCTTTTTTATAAATAAATATTATTATAATACATTGGCTTTTTCATTTAAAAAAAAGTGTTAATTTTTTGTGTTAAATTCATATTCTATTTACTAAAAACAATATTAATAAAAATCGAATTTGATAAGCCTTTTATTTGATATAAATATTATTAATGTATGAATTGTTGCAGGTTTATAATTAAAAGTAAATTGAGTATAAGTAATTGAGGAAACTATAGATAAACATTATTGATAATTCCCATTGATTAGAAAGAAATTTATAAAATATTATTAAATAATAGATTATAGAAGAGAAATAATAATGGTAGATCCATATCTTTTACAAGATATGAGAGATCTTGAAGAATAATAATTATTTGATTTAGATTCTAAAAAACAAAAATTAAAGCAGATATATAAAGTAAAATTTATCAGTTGAAACAAACTCAATAGGCTAAGAATTAGTATAAATTATTATTGCTTCTTTCGAAGAACCTATTGTTAATATATATCTTTTTAATAAAATTAATATCAAATATTTATAATGCTGAATCTCCTTATTTTTTTCATGTGTAATAATCATTAAATACATAATCACTAAAAAAAAGTATAGAAATATAGTTAAAATATTATGAATAACAAAAATGAATAATGTCTTAAAGAGATCAATTGTGAATCAATCTATTAAGAAATTATTTAAAGTGTAATTTAAAAAATAAGTAATGATCAAATAAACAATACTTCAGACTATTGTAGTAAAATCTAATTAATGAGTTTTGTTTTTAATGTATAAATATCATTTTCATTGAAGATTATTAGTGCTAATATTTATATTTTTCATATTTTTGAAATTAAATCTCCTATTTCATTTACAGAATTTCTAATTTAAGTTAATTAAAACTTCAAATTATTGATTGATTATTCCATTAGATCTACTTTATAATTAGTTTATAACAAAGTTTTAATATGTTGAAATATTTTAATTAGATCAGAATCTATTTCACTATACTTAGTTAAAATATAATATTATACCTATATTTGCATATCTAAGATACTAAGTTTATTACTATTCAATAATTTGTTATTTTCATTTAGAGTAGCTTCGATTGTATTGATTTTTTCTATTATATCTGATTTATTATTTAATAAATCCATTTATTAAAAGATACTTGTAAACTTAAGATTAGTTTCTAATTAATAATCTTATATTAAGTTAAATTTAGCTTAGATTTCTTTATTTTAATTTTTGATTAGATTATCTTCAATATTTTTAATTCCTTTTTATGCATCCTTAGAAATCTTCTTCTCTAATCTTTCAAGTTATTCCTGATCTAATGTTGTGTAATTACATTGTAGTTAAGGTTTCTCTAATCCATGATTACTTATAAATTAATTATTAAATCTCTATAAGAGTTCTTATTATTCATTTAGTTATCTTTCAATATTTCCTATTTTTATTAACACTTTTTAATTCTCATCTTCTATTTTTCTAAACTTTTGCCATAATTTCTCTATAACTTATTAAAATCTATCTGATTTAACATGTTAATCAAGTTCATTTTATAATTATAAACACATATCACAAGATTTAATTTTATTCAATTCATCTGACAATAAAATAGTAGATGGTGCTTTATCTTGTAAGTTCTGCTTTGTAATAAAATCAATAATATTAAGGCCTCTACCTTAATTTCTAGCTGATTATGGAATTTTTTCAAGAGAGTTTCTTCTGCTCATTAATTAATGTTATAAGTTTAAAGAATTTCAAGGCCAAAAAAATCAATTTCAAAAAGCCTTATTCTTTAAAATCAACCTGCCCTTGAACCTGAGAGTACACTTAAAGTTAAGGAGCATTTTTAGCATTTAAGATAGAAGCTTAAGGCAATCCCTTATATTACAACTCCTGTGGCATCTCCAAGATAATAAGGATAACCTCAATAAAGAAAAAGAAGAGATAAAAAAGGAAAGAAATATAAATAAGAGAGAGCAAATTTTTTATTAGAAGTATCTAGTATTAGTTCTTCAATCACAGATGAATCCATAGATAAAGATATAAAAAGTGAATTTTTAATAGCAAGAGATAATTTGAAAAAGCTTTGCAAATAATCTAATCATAATAAAAATAATTCATCCTTCATAAATTCACCATTATTTCCTTAAAATATAAAAGAATCTTAAAAAAATGATTCCTAACTTTAAACATTAAATTAATTAGATTATGAAAGAGTAAATATTAATTTTGTAAAGTCTCTTTAACATAATTCAGATTGTAAAGACATATAAGAATATTATGAAGATGGAAACTTAAATATCTTTTTTTAAAGTTAAGACATGTTAACATTTTTACGTTATGAACATGAAACATAAGAAATGATTTAAAGATCTAAAATGTTTTGTTAAAATTAAAATTTATATGAAGGATTATAGAATGAAATTGAAATATATGAATAAAAATAGGCAAAAATAAATCAAGAAAAGGAAGAATAACAAAGAGAGTTTATTCAAAGAATATTATTATAAGAATAATAGAAATAGAATTTCTTAAAGAAAGCAAAAACAAAGAAAATAGGAGAGATTGCTAATAAATTTATTGACCATCATCATTTAGAATAAAATAATGAATATTAATAACATTAATCTATAGAAAAATTAAGAAGAATAGATGAAGATCAATAGAAATGAATAAATTAAACTTAAAACCTATTTATCAATCAATTTTCAAATCTTTTACTGGGATTAAACTTTCATCAAACTTTTATTCACTTCTTTTCATAGATAAACTCTTTTCTTTACTTCCTTCTCTACTATTGCTTCTTCTTGGTTTCTTAATTTTAGTTTTTTAATCATGTATTTTTATAATAGATTCATCCACTTTTTATGTATTATAATTTAAATCAGTTGATGTATATGCAATCACATGACTTGCACCAAGTGATATTTATAATAACTTTTCATTTTTAAATATTGATGTAATCTATTAAAATGATAAATAAATAAATTTACATCTTTTGGTTTGAATTAGGAATTCTCATTTCTAGTACCTAATACAAAACTTTAACCATTTCCCCAAGAAAATATTTAACCTTATTGAGAAATGGCAAAATTAAAATGCATAGAAGATTAAATAGATTACATTTTTGGAATATCTTTAATCATTTATGGAATAGTAATGAATTCATATCCTATAACTTTATCTGATTTTTATATTTCAAATAGTTCTCCCTATTATTTATTTTTCTTGCTTATCTTTTTTTTATTGCTTTCATTCAATTTTTATGATTATATTTCTTCTTCTAATTATTTTTATGCTTATTCTTTTAATTGTTCATTAATTTCTTCTCCTAATCCAAGTTGTCCATCATCATGTCTACCAAATGAATATAGATTTCCTTCAGAATCTAATGCTATACTATGATGTTCTCCTCCAACCATATCAATAACATCAATATTATCAAAAAATTCAATTAATACAGGTAATTATTAATTTTCTTGATTACCAATACCCAATTATCCATAATTATTTAATCCCCAACCAAATATTCCAACTTTATTTTCTTTCATTTAAACTTTAACAAATGCATGTGAAGCACCTGTAAAAATATTTAAAATTGGTTTTTTCATCTTAATTGGTTATGGATTTAAATTTTAAATAATAGATCTTCTAGTTTCACTTTTTCTACCTATTACTAATGTTTCTGCATCTCCCCATGTTAATAACTATATATATAAATATTAATAATATACTTTTTAACTTTCTAATAATACCATTGTATGATTTTAACCACATAGTATTTTTTTGATTCCTTCTGTAATATTATCCATTTTTTTTGGCTTTTATACTGGTTCTCCAATTGGACCATGAGTATTTGCATAAAATCCCCAGAAATATACTAAACCATTGGAATTTGCAGCAATTGAATGAGAACTACCACAAGCAATCATATCAACAGGAGGAAGATCTGTAATCAGTGCTGGTACTCGAGCATCCTATCCTTCTATTTTAGGTCTACCTAGAACTCCTTTGTCATCACATCCAAATGAATATACCTAATTTATGTTAAATAAATGCAATACTTTTCCTTATGATGTCAAAATTAAGGCATGCATTCCTCCACATGCCACTTAAGTTATAGATAGATTATTTAATTCTTTTATTTGATATGGTCTTTTTACTTCATACATCTCTTCGTCATCTTCATCTTTAGCCAAAAATTAATCACATTCTGCACTTCCCCAAGCATATAATTTTTATTCACTCAATTATTCACTTTACATCAATAATTAAAATTAATATTCATTTATTTTTCCTATCAGCTCTTGAAAATCTCCTAATCAATAGAGGACCATGAAATTTTGGTTAATTAGGCACCGGATTTTGCAAGAAATGTGCATAATCTGGATGAAGGTATGGCTATTTATGGAGATCTGTAAATTAATCTAAATTATTACTTAAATAAGATAATGTATTGTAAGTAGTTAAAGTTTCTATAGTATTACAATACTCTTCTTCACTTATTACAGATTCTTGAGGTGGCATGAATTAAATTTTTAATTGTTATTCATCTCCAAACAAATCATTAAAGGATTCAAATTATCCCCTTAAAATATATTTATATTAACTTACTTCTTATTAACTATTACATAAATATATGTTAACAATGACTCTAATTTTACATGCAAAGGCAATATGGTTCTTTATTCATAAGTCCAATCTGATATTTTCTCTCCTATTGGCGATGGACTAATTCTTTCAGCCATTCTTCCTAATGATTCTATAAATTCTATAAGAGACATTCTAACATTTCTATCTTAATTCAATTCATCTACTTATGATATCATTGAAAAGTTATAAATTATGACTTATTATTTATCACTCAAATATTCATTTAATCCAATATGTTTACAAAACTCTTTAAATTCTTTTATAGAAATCCATTTTAATTTAAAATACCATCTTCGATTACTGATGTCAGTTATATAATCATAAAGTTTTTTTAAAAATCCCATTTTGAATGTTATTAAAGTATCACACTCTTTATTCCATAATCTCTTCTATCTCCATTCTTAAGTTGAATCAAAATTATTAAAATAAGGTTTAAATTCTTTTAATAATCGATATACTGCATCAGCTGCATTCTTGACAGTATTAGTTCTTACATATTTATCAAGGGCCAATCTGTAAAGACTCTCAATAAATTAATATCTTATAAGAGCTGAATCTGGATTATAGATAAATTTATTGTCTACATTATTCTTTATTGAAATTAAATTACTCTCTACATCCTAGATTTTTAAATCAACTCCATCAACTAATCCAACTTATTAAACTAATTTTTAAAATTATGGAAATTATATGCAAAACATATCAAATTATGGAGGCTAATGTCCAAAACTTGAAAGGTACTTATATACATCTTTTAATAATTAATACTGTTGTCTAAAATATTCTTTCATCTTTGTTCTTTCATATTCATTTCTAACAAATCTTGTAATCTTACTACATGACCAATCAAAATCCAAACAATTATCCAATAAATCATCATTGTCACTTTAAAATTACTTAAAAGATGAATTTTCTTTATTCCAAAATATTATATTGACTTTCTTTCTGATAGAATTATTTGCAAATTTTCTCAATATATATTTTTTTTGAGCAGAACGAGGAAATATTTTAACTAATGGTTTATAATCATTTTTATCATCTATTACATATTCTTATTTTGATAATAAATAATTAATTTAACTAATCTTTTTAAATTTAAGTTTAGTTCCATCTGCAAATTAATGATATTAAAATTTGGTATCCTTTCCTTATAATATTAAATCATCAGGAGGAGATTACATACTTAAAGAATTTTTATCTATAAAATAGTCTTCAGTTATTGGATTACTGAAGAAATACAAAATCCTTCTTTTAGGTGGACACATTTAATAAGTAGTATAATAAAATTTGTCAAAATCATCCAAACATCTTTCATCTACAATTTCATCTTTTGTTTCAATATCATAAGCTTCTTAAATAGCTGCCATTGTTATTTTTTTATCTTCATTTATTACTTACTTTAATTAATAAATTATTTCCCCAGTTGTTAATTATGGTTCTACAGATTTGCTCTTTCTTTATTATTTCATCTACTCCTTTAATTCTAAACTAGATGTCATTGGTATTGGTTTATAACTAATTTTATTAAATAATATTACTCTAAGAAATCAAGATGGAGAAAAATTGGCACATCACCATTAAATTCATCTGGTGTGTAATTAAATTTAAATTCCATCCATCCTTAACAAATCCAACAACAATCACTACCAATTAATCCATCATTTAATTCTGGTATAAAATTTACACCATCAATTTCATACTTCTTTTATTATAATCTGAAGGGATTTTATTAAAGTTATATTCCATCATTAGCAAATTGAATAAATCCATTAGGATCTACATATGCTGGACATTTATTTCCTTCAATATGCAATCCATAAATCTAATTATTTTTTTTTAATGCTTCATTCAAGATTCTTAATTATTATTCACTAAATTGATTATATGATAAATCAATATGAATAAGTGAAACTTTTGGATTAGAAATAATTTCACTCCAATAAATCATGCAATTATTTTATCCCAAATGATTATAACTTAAGTCTATTACTTTTAATGATTTATTATTTCCTAATCCTTTGGCAATATATTATCCTGATAAAGAACCTAAATAATTCCAGTTTAACATAAAGACTTCAACTGTTTTATTATTTCCTAAAAAGTTATATAAAGTTTATGAGATTGAATCAGTTAATCCATTCTCTGATAGATTTAATCTAGTAACTGTATTATTTTTCATTAAAGCATTCAATAATATTTAAACTCCTGCATCTCCTAATGTATTATTTGCAACATTTATGTATTTGATGCTATAAAACAATAAGATCGATACCTTTTATGGGTTAATATAAATTTCTCAAGAAGCTATGCTCCCCCTTTCCCTAATTTATTATTTGAAATTTTTAATTCTTTTAATGAAAGTGGAATACAATCAATAAAAAGACCTAATTCTTAGTCTTTCAAGTTATTATCACTTAAAAATAATTGTTTAATTCTCTAACTCTTTTATTATTTCAATAAAGTGGTCAATATTGGATAATATTTAGACCCAATGCCTAAATTGGTAAAATTCATCTCTTTTTTATCAATTAAGCAATTTGTTAAATCAATTCTTTTGGGGAACAAACTGTCATGAACACAAAAATAGTAGACTGGATTCATTCCATCTTCTTTAATGAAATGTTGAGCTATGTCTCTCAATTTATTTTAGTTTTTCAAGAACCCAAAATATGAATCATCATTATTTGTATCTCTGAATTATCACTCTCAAATACTTAATTTATTTTTAACATGCTCCTTATGTTTGTCTAAATCAAAAACATCCACGCTACTATTTGATTTCTCAGAACTATCTTCACTTATCTCTTCGCTCTGGTTAATCTAAACATCATTCTTTGCAGGAAAGATTCGTGGAGTTATTCTAATAAGCTTTTATGATAGATAAATAGCTTTCTTTTATTTCTTTATGCTCTCATCAAAATAATACGATTTCTCTTCTTTAAAAACCTCATTATTTTATTTTAATCTTGATTCAGATCTGCTAGTTTTGGTTGTAAAAAATGTTTTCAACATTTCTTTCTTTTATCTTGTATAATCTTTAAGTAAAGGCAATTTTCTTTATTGTTTTGAATTAGAAAGAATTATTGACATTTTCTATATTATAAATAATATACTGAATAATATTTCAATCAAATTTACAAATATTATTGTATTCTAAACTACAAATTTAAATAAAATTAATTTTGGATTAATATACTCAATATTTAAAACATAGAGTAATTAAATCATAGATATCTTATATTATATCTAATTATTCATATTATAAAATAGTAATTAAAATTAAAAATCCTTATTTTGATAAATTTATTTATTTATAAAATATTATCAAAATAAAAGTGTAATATTATTAAATTTTATAAATAATTAAAAACCTTAAAAATAATATTGCAAATTATTATTAACCTTTTAGTATTTTTTACAACTTGTTTATTTATAATAATTAATAATTTTTCACACATTTATACCAACTTCATGAAAACAATCTCGAATTATTTTTTATTCTTCTTCACCTACTGATTTCATAGCATGTTTTATTTTTGAATTTTATTTTAAGACCCATTTCAAAGCCTCTTTCAATATAATAATTAATATATTACCTTTTAATATATACGGAAAGCTCTCTTTAAATGAAATCAATTAACTCTTTTCAGAATTCATAAATGCAAGTTTTTATTCCAAATCTTCCCTAATACCAGTTAATTTTTCGATATCTTTAGTGAAATTTTCAATAACTTATATATGCATATCTAAATTTTCTGATTTTTCTTCTAGTCTTTAACCTAATCTTTGGTTTTCAGATTAAATTTACTATCCAAAAATATATTAATAAATACCTTAAGATGTTATTAATTTTTTTGGGCTTATTCATATTTTTCATAATATGTCATATTTTTTGCTTTTAATTCTTCATTTTACTTTATAAAATGTTCTAAATTATTTTTCAAAGATTTTCTAAATACAAAATATAAATACTTTTCTTGCTCTAAATCTTCTTTCATTTTTAACTTTTTTTATTTATAATCTTCTCTTAGTTTTATGATTTCATTAAATTTATCTTATTATAATTTAGAAATCTCTTAAATAAATATGCTTTATTGTGAATGATCCATAGCTCTTCTTTTAAAAAAGTCATTCATTTAATGAGCTTATTATTTCATATCCTTATATTATAAAACTAAATCATTGGAGATCTAATAATTAAATAATTATTTACCTCTTCTCCTGGTTCTCTGAAGGATTAATTATCATCACTCATTCGTTTTAATAATTATTAACATTCAACTCTTTTTCCATTAAGTTCATTTCTGACTCTTTGAAGTTGATCTTATAAATTTTAAAAATCTAATTTTAATTTTTGATTTTTTTCTTTTTTATTTTGCAATTCCTACATTAATTACATTACCTTAGCTTAACAAGCCTCTAATTCAAGACTTTTAATTTTTTCTTATTTATTTGTTTCTCTACTCCAATTTTCTATTTCATACTTTAACTAATCTCTTTCCTTTTATATTTCATATAATAAGCTTTCTTAATTTGCAATAGTTTTCCTTAATCTTTCTTCGCCTTCTCTAGCTTAAACTAGATACTTTTTAGTTTAATTATTTTCTTCTATATAAACTTTTTAAACATTTAATATTAACTTTTCAAAATGACTAAATAAAAATGAAGGCACTTTTTCTGAGAAATGTTTGTATTTTTAATGTCCTTTAACATTTTCCATATAATATTTAAAAAAACGACTGTAAATTTGAAATTGATCTACTAATAGAGATGATTTTATGCTATCAACATTATCTAAGACTGGAACTTGAAAAGTGTTAAAGAATTTTTATAAGATCTAATTAGCAACAGTAGTTGATTATTCTTTATTAATTTCTAATCTTGTTTATAAATCTTGGGACATCATATCATGTAATTCTTTTTTCATACTAATAATTTTAGAATTGTCTATTATTTCTTTTGATTTTTAATCTAACCTTTAAAAGATTTCAGCTTAAATTTATTTATTTAATTAAATCAATTCTTCATCTTCAAATGGAGCTTTTAATTTTGACAAAGCATCTTAATAACTCTTAGAGAATTGACTTTTAAGTTCTTCCAAAAGATTTCTTGCTTCTTATTAAATGACTCTATCTAAACTAGATAAAATTTATGGAATTCCTCCAGAATTAATAGCATCAACATATTCAAGGGAAAGTTTCAAAAACATTTCAGCAGTTAAAGTAATTCCATTAATTTATTTTGGAGGGATATTTTTGGATACTCTTCTTTCAAAATCATATACTGCAGCAATGAATTCTGGTCTTAAAGCATTCCAATCTTCTTCTTCAACTCTAGCTAGTCTTCTTTCATCCTAAATTGGTCTCACCATACATATGCAATCTCTAAATTTAAAATACTCTCTAATCTTTCTTCTAATAAGATTTTTTCTCTCTCCATCTGGACCTGGATTAGATTGATCTTAAAGTGCAAATTCCAAATATTCACTTGGAGTACGTCCTCTTAAGTCTAGTGAGAAATCTCTCAAAACCCAAAGGAATGTTGGAAAAAATTAACTTAAACTTTTATCCTCTGATCCTACACTGATGTTCTCACTTAATTTAATAACGAGAGAGAGATTTTCTATTGACTGTTCATCAATATGACCCAATTGATTAAATACAAACATTGAAGACAGCAATAGAGATATTGAGAAAATTTTAGTATCAACTCCCAAGTCTCTTTAGACTGAATTTAATCCTTCTGTATCCATCAACAAAATTGAAGTATTTTCATTTAATGGAATAGGTTAGCTCCATAACCAAATACCTTTTGTACATGGCATAGTAGTTGGTCCAACTGCAAATCCCTTTTATCTTTTTAATACTCTATTAGCTAAAAATGATTTTCCTGTTCTTTGTGGACCTGCAATTGTAAGAACAGCTACCTAAATATCCCATTAAAAGTGAATACTTTTCTGTCAGCAATTGATTGCAACATTTTAATTGCCTAAGGGTGAATTTCAAAAATAGTTTCCAATCCTTCTTTAGTTTAAGTTTCCTTTAACTCAATGAATGGTATGGGTTAACCTTACATTTTATATTTAATTTATTATAAAATTTTGCAAATTCATTAAAAAGTGTTTTTATTACTTCTTTTGTAATAAACTCTTAATTTGATAGATAATTGTTTGACTTGATGAAAGAATGTGTATTTGTCAAATTTATCATGTAATCTCTAAAGTCTTTAGTTTTTTCTTTTCATTGTTTTAGCCATTTATTTTAGTTATGACTCTAATGAGTATTAAGGCATATATGAAATACTCAAAAAGTTTACTTTATCTATATTGAAAGTATTTTGATAATAAAGTTAATGTTTAACTTCATCAAGAATGCTAAATGATCCACTTTAATGATCTGTAATTGGTGCGAAGTTACTTTTAGATGCCCTTTGTTCAAGTTTAGTAAATTTTATTTTTGATAATGAAGACCCTAAAATAATAAAAAAAGAATACTATGATGATTTTTTAATATTTATTATTATATTAATTATTTTGATTGATTTTATGGAGTATGTTACATTTCTGAATTTTATTCTTCATCACTAATACCACTAAGATTTTAAGCATTTTAACCAATCATTTATGCTGAATTTTAATAAACAGCTTCTGAAAACCCTGTTCTTTAATGTGGTGTTTCATTTTAATTATTTTCATTCAAACCAAAAAGTTATATTTATTAATCTTCTTAAAATTAATTCAAAGATTAATTTAATTTACTCAATTATCCTAAAGTATTATATTTATTGTCTTTTCGTTTCTTAGAAATTCTATAATTGTGTTCTTCAGCAAAGTTTTCTTTTTTCAAGATTAATTCTAAATCTGGTTTATATTAAATTAAAGGACAATCAATTTCCAAATGAAAAGGTCTATTACAAAAATTGCATTTATGATCAAATAACACTAAATTATTTGTAAATATAATTTTGTCTTTAATATGATTAAAAATTTCATGATCTTTTTGGTTGCTTCGAATAATTTCTAAGAATTTTTTCCTATTTATTTTATATAATTAAGTAGGACTATTACATATAGCTGTCTCTTTAGGACAAAAACCTGTAAAAAAAGAATATATTCCAAGATATTAATTTTTTTATAATGTTTTAAGTGTTGTTTTGGTTTAGAATTCAGTTTGTTTCACTTCACCTTTATGAATAAAATATCTAAAATAAAAATGATATTTTTTACAGACTATCCTCCTAAAGATCACCTTATTTATATACTACATCTCCAGCCAATAGTGAAATTAATTGAAGATTCTTAGCAACTTATATTTATGTTGATTTAGAAAAATGATTTATAATTAATTTGATTTGCTTAATTACTCTAGCTTAGATATCTGCATTTAAATCTTATTGTAAATTAAAAGGTAATGAATTTAAGATATTGTTCACATCATCCATATTCTCCTTTTTCTCTTAATATAATTAAGAATTTAAATAATTTCTTATTCTTCCTTAAATTTATTCATCTACATTATTTTTTAACATAAATTGAGTAATTTAAATTAGATTTTTTCTAATAAATTATCAATTCAAAATAATACTTATAGTTTAATTATGTATCATAAATATTCTTTAAGATAATCCCTATTGAGCTCATTGTATAAGCAAAAGCACAACTAGATAAAAACATTACAATTGATGCAACAATCATTTCAATTTCATTTACTGCAACAACATCACCATAACCAACTGTTGTCATTGTCATAGTTGCCCAATAAAAAGCTGCATTATATTTACTCCAAGCTGATTTATTCTCTAAATGATTATCTATTAACCATGAATTTCCTAGACTTTCAGTTTATTATCCAACATAATGCCAAATACATGCTATAATATGAGCAAAATAATAAATTTAAATTATTAAAGATATTAAATCTATTGTAAAACTTTGATTTCCTCGACAATATATTTATTGAAAATACTCTGTAATATATCTTTAAATTTTTTTATATATCAAAAACACTTAAATTATTATTAGAAACTCTTAAAAGTAATACAATTAATAAAATTCGTATTTTAATAATATCCATATTCCCATATTTAAAAAATCAAATATAGCATTAGATTTTAAATAGTTTTTAATGAAATCCTTTCTTTAATATACTATAACTGCTTCTCTAATTATAGCTCTGTTAAACATTACTAAAAAATCAAAAACCAAATAAAATAATATTATTGACTAGAGAAATTTAATTATACTATTATTAATTTCTTGGAAAGAACATAAAAAAGGACTGACCCATAACATAATAAGATGGAATAAAAGTCCTAAAATATCCCAAAACATTATGAAATGAGTAGATGGTAGAAATATCCATTTATTTTTTTTACTGTCTTCAGCTATAAAATAATATTTTATTTTTTTACAGCCATTTTTAGAAAATTATTAAGCTGGTTTTTCATCTAAAGCTTGGGTTATTCTTAATTTTTAATCCTATTTCATAAAATATAGATTTGTAAATAGGTTGTTTATGAATCGATGTATAAAGTATTGTTTCCTAAAATTTATTACAAACTATGAAGATTTTTTATTTTCAGTCATTCTTAAGGATCTATTTGTTAAGAATATTGCATGTTTTAAATAATCAGACTTATTCAAAAACATAAATTTACTTTACGACTTTAACCAATAACTTTATGTATTTTATCCTTAATCATATTCTGATGTAACACTTCACTCTCTTCATCAAATAATGATTATGAAGATGGAGACTCAGGTTTCGATGTGATTTATTATGTTACATTGCTAGGACCCATTCTAGTAGTATTAGACGTATTAGCTTCCATAACTAATTTGAAATATTAATTCTTGAGATGCAAAATTATTAATTCTTATGTATATTCTTCAATTTATCTATGTGAATCATAAATTAATATATAATATCTCTTCATAGACTTAAACTTTTAAACCCTTTTTTAGTTATGAAAAACATAAATATTTAAACCATTATAAATTTCCTAAACCTTACTAATAATAATAATATTCTGAAATTTAATCAATAAATTATTACTTTTAAGGCATTATCATAGAAGTTTTTATCCAATATTACCCAAAATCTTAGTTAAATTATTACTTTATTTAGTGATTACATTTTTTAAATATATCAGACCCATATAATGGTAATAAGATAGAAGTTTTTAAATATTTAATATCTAATATAAACATTGAAAAACCAAACAAAGTAATTAAACATCTGAAATGATAGATTAATAATTAATTAGAAAATTTATGAGGAATCATTAGAAATTTGATAAGAAATTTATAATAATGTGATGGTAAATCTACTGTCCTTAAGTTGCACTTTAATAAAAGTTATCTCTTAAATTTGCACAAACTAATATCATAATGAATTTAATTTTCATCCATTATTAGTATTTTAATTATGATTTTGAAGTTATTGATATTATGAATATTTTAAAATAACTTTAAAAAAAAGCTAATTCTTTAATAAATCTTTAAAATATCTAAAAAATCATTAAGATTTACTAATTAATGATATAAAATAAACCTTATATCAAGATATTAAATTAATTTATACATTTTTGCCACTTAAAGAGGATTTTCAAGAATTTAGAATCTACAACATAAAATTTTATTAAATCTGTATCCAGAAATAACAAGTTTGATTAATCGATTCAATTTAAATTATGATAAATTTGAATTCTAATTTTCAACATTAGGATTTTGTTGACCAAATAATAAATTATCTTAAAAGCAATATTTTATTCTTGTCCATATTTTCACTAACTAATTTTGAAATAAATTGTACCCTTTCAACACTTAATTATATTACTATACAGTATTATATATGTTTAAAATTAAATTTGATCATTCTCAAGGTAAATAAATAACATATAATTAATTGTCATTACTTTAATATTCAAAAATAAACATTAAATAACTCATTTATTTTTTATTAACTATATTTGAGATAATTAGATATTTGTTTTGAATTTTCAATTGTATTTATAATATTAATTTAGTGTATCTAATAAGGAAAAATAACTCTTATCATAATCTCAAATAATTTCAAAATAATGATATAAATGGAGGAAATTATAAAAAATTTATTAAACAATATTAATATTATTTATTAGATGATTTACATAACTTAACTTAAAATTAAGTACACACTTTAATATAAATATCATTATAATTTTATTAATTTTTATGCAATATATTTTAAATATAGTCATTATTCATTATCTACCTTATCACTTGATACAATTTAAAAGGCTTATTCTATTTATTATTCATTTGGTTCAAATTTCTTTTTTTTACACTATAATCTATGTTCTTTTTGATATTATTATAATTTAGATAATTATTCTGTTTTTTTAGTTTTTTATTCTTTTTCATCTTATTTTTATTTTTTTAATTAGTTTAATACTTATTTTAATCTTTAAGTTTCTTTTTTATCATGAATGATTTTTTAATTCTTATTTTCCATTAATTTTTTTCTTTAATTTAAGAGTTTCAATTTTTGAGGATCAGGAGGAGGTATAATTTTTTTGGATTCTTATTTTGATTGACTTCTGTGTTTTGATAAAGATTTATTTAAAATTTCTCTTTAAATTTAAACAATTTTTTCAATTCTACCTTTTCTTTCTTTACCTTCTTCAATCTAAATAATTTAAATATATATATAATACTCTTGATATATCTGCTCTCCATGCAACTTTTGATAAACTTTATTCTCTTGTTTATGGTTAAAGTTATTTAGCACTATATAAATATTGTAATTATTTTTATTTTTCTTGATATTCTTTCAATTTTTATCTTCTAGCTGTTTCTGGATTTATAATTGCAGCACTTGAGGGTCTAGATTTTCTATTTGATAAATGAGTTGTTTAATGGGATTATCTGAGTTCATAATGATGATATTCACATTTTTATTTAGTTTATTAAGAAGAATTCAAAATTTTTTATTTTCTAGGTTTTTTAGATTCTGAACTAACAATTGATGATTATTCTAAAAATATATATATTTATTCTACTTATAGATTTATTAGATTTATTAGTTGATGGATTTTCTTAATAATTTCTTCTAACTTTAGGAGTGGGAGTTGGAGTTTTTTTGAGTCTTGTTGAACTTTTTCTACTGCATCCACAACAAGAACATGAACAACAACTCATCAATTCATATTTTTGATTAGAGATTCTTGATTTTTGATCTCTATGAGTAGAATTAGATTTAATTGATCTTGAAGACTTATTTGTATGAGATCTTGGTTAAGTTGTAAGAATAGTTCTGGATGGCCTTTAGTCTTCATAATATTGAATTGGTTAAATAGATTATTGCATTTTTCTCTAATTCAAAATTTCACTAACTGATATTTATTCTGATACTACATGGTATGATGTCATCAAGCATTGGGACAAGTGCTATTTCAGGATTAATGTGTTTAGCTAGCATTTTATTTGAAAGTTTATGTTAATTTTGTTATTCTAGATTAATTTTTGTTTTAGGACTTAATCGACCAACTAACTGAACTGTCTAATTGTTATACATATTATTAAATTTAATTAAATAAATTATAATATTTAGTGTTTTAGAACAAAGAATTTTATTTATTAAATACAACAATAATTTCATTTTAGTTCTTAAAAGTCATCATCCAAAGTTGATTCTAGATCTGATTATTATTATTATTATTAAATTTAATTAATATCCATTGTTCTCATTTTTCTATGAATATAACTCTTTAATTTATCATATAGTGTTATTGCCAATAAATACATTGAATGTAAAGATGGTTCTTATTTACTTAATTATTGATAAGGCATAGAATATAATTTATTTTAATAGAACCAATATACTAACAATATAATTATTATTACATCTACTAGATTTATACTTGGCCTAACTATCAGTTTATCCATGTTTTTTATTTACCCAAGATAATTAATGTGGAATCTTACTTAAAATTTCAGTTAATTCAATCATATCTGCATTCTATACCTTTTCTTACCAAATCTTTCTTTTTTCTGCAGATGTCCAACAACTCTTCCAATAATTTAATTCATATTCTGAATAATCCTTTTCCAATGCTAAAAGAATTTACCTTACAATATTTATATCACAATTCTAAAATAATTCAATAGCCATTTAATCTTGACTAATTTATTCAATACCATAAGTATTATCAAGTGCTATTGGATCTAATTTACATTCATCTAAACTAAAATATCCTTCATTCACTAAATTCTTAATTTATGTATTTTTCTTTTATTATTGACTAATTAATTCTATCATTTCTGCACCTTTAATCATTTACCAATCTTATTCATTGTTTTCTTAATAGATACATCTTTTCTCTTCTTAAAATACCTAAAAGTGATAAATTTAAGTACATAAATATTATCAGAGATCTTCTCTATGGCTTAATTATAAAATAATTAGCTATTTACAACTGCTGATGCTTTTGTATATAAATTTATTTCTTCTTGTAATCCTGCTATAATTTGAAGAGTTTTAACTTATTCTTTTTATTTCTTTTTAGCCACTTTTCCAACTGATTATTATAGTCTTTTTATATCTGCTTCTTTCTTTGCAAATTCTTTCTTCCAATCATTATTTGATAATATTTCTTATATCTTTATTCTTTAATCAATCTCCTAAATCAAAAATTCTGATTCATAAAAGATTGTATCTATGATAAATAATATAAGTTTTTATTTATCTAATGCAAGCCAATTTTTAAATTGCTCTTACTATAAATGTTCTTTAAATTATTAGTATTCTAATTCTATTTCATCTTTTATATAAGCTCTAATCCTATATATGCGTGTAATTAATGTAAATATAGTAGGCCAAATGTTCATTAATATTGATCGACGAATAAATTAACTAAAATATTAATTACATCATACTTTTTGATTTATCCTATTACATTCAAGAAAGCTGAATTAGTTTATGTTGATGCCTATACTAAATATGTTAAACAAAATTTATCCATTAATCCTATCACTAATTGATAGGCTAAAGATGAATTCTCATTAGATTCCTATAAATCTCTTTAAATATACAATTTACAAAACTTTCATGTAATTGTTCAACTGTATAGCGAGTTCGTAAATTCAATTGAGAAGCAAATCTACGGCAAAATTCATAAATTTAAAGAGTGTTCACCAGAGACATATTTTAATTATTAATTATTACATTTTTGGTAAATAAATTGCGGGGAATAAAAAATGAATATTTGATTTCAATTATTATTATTCTGTTTAATTTCTATTCTCATATTATTATATCTAAAAATATATAGTTATACTAATAATTTATTTAATACATTATAGATTAGTCTATAAAGTTATATGAATTACTATTGATTTTATTTAATACAAATTATATGAACATTTTTGATATTATTGAATTAATTATTTATTATATAAAATAACCCTAATATGATAGATAGCTTTAATTATTTATTTAAGGTCATTGTCATAGGTGATTCTGGAGTAGGTAAGACTAATCTATTGTTGAGATTTGTTAATCATACCTTTTATAATGATTTAAAATCAACAATTGGAGTTTAATTTTTCACTAAAGTGATCTCGATTAAGAATGAACACATAAAACTTTAATTATGGGATACAGCAGGATAAGAGAGATATAGATCTATTAGCACTTCTTATTATAAAGGTTCTCATGGTGTCATAATATGCTTTGATCTTACTCATCAAGAATCTCTCGATAATGTAGTTAAGTGGTATGAAGAAGTAAAATAATAAGCTGACTTAAATGTCAAAATAATTCTAATCGGAAATAAATTGGATTTAAATCAGCAAAGAGTAGTTGGAAGTGATACAGCTTAATAAGTTGCAAAATAAATAGGTGCTGGATATATTGAGACATCTGCTTTAACTGCTTAGAATGTAGACAAAGCATTTGAACTATTAATTTAAGGTTTTTATATATTAATATTAATATAGAGATCCATATGTAATTGAAACAATTAAAGTAAGACTAATAGAGTCAAAAGATTACAACAGAAAATGCTATTGTATTAACAAATACTAAAGAAACAAATACTTCTCAAAAAAGAAATACTTAATGTTGTTGAATTGATTATATATAATATAAGTTTAGAAATATTATCAGTAATAAATTTTATTATATTTACAAATTAATGAGATAAAATAAGTTAAATAAATAATCACCTTCATTAAATACTAAATAGAAATAATATATTGAATAAATATCATACAACTGCATCTTAGACAAGATTAAATTTATATAAATTGGAATAAATGAAGCTATAAGAAATAATAATTTAACACATATTTAATAGCATTTGAATTAGTATCAATAAGATTTATAATTAATATAAGAATTTTTAACATAAAATGAGTATACTAAGGTTATAAAAGAATTAGAATAAATAAAAGAATAAAAAAAATAATTATCTGTTAAACTTGAAGCTCTAGAATTATAAAATTTACTTAGAGATAAAGATCCAGAATATTTGGCAACTTAAGTTTAAGCTTTGATTGAATAAAATAAAAAATTATAAGAAAAAGTTTAAAAATTTAGATTAATTGCAGAATAGGCATAAGAATAAGCCTTAGAATCTCTAGAAATCTCTAATTTAAATTAAGCTTTATTTTAATAGATAAAATATGATTCAGATAATCCTAAACAATCTAATCATGTTTGTTCAAATAGTAATGGGAATTTAGAAGTAGTTTAATTACAATTAGATGAAAAAGTTTAAGAAATAGAAATGCTAAAATTATAATTGGAAGAGTTGGCTTAATTATAATAAAAATAATATAATGATTATTAAGAAGAATTAGAACATTAGAAAATGTGGATTAATTAACTTTCTAATAAATTATAACTATATGAATCTTAAGCAGATTAATAAAGAAATAGATATGAAGAAAAAATTATTGAATTAGAAAATAAAATTTAATAATATGAAAGTTTTGATGAAAATTAAACTTAAGAATTGTTATAATCTTTGGTTGATTAAAAATGATAATGTTAACTATATATCTATAACAAATTACTTAATCTAATTTTTAAAGTATTATTTTATTAATTTTATAAATAAAATGGGAGGAAGAAGAAAATCTAATAGAATGCCTAAAAAAGAAAAAGTTTAAGCAATTAAAACTATATTTGATTGTGCACTTTGTGGTTATAAAAACTGTGTAATTGTTAAAATGTAAAAATAAAAAAAAGAAATAGAAAAAAAGTAATTAAGATTGCAGAATTAAATTGTGATAAATGTTAAACTTCTTTTACAACTAAAATCAAAGGATTAGATGAAGCTATTGATGTATTTCATAAATGGTTGGCTGAATTGAAACAAAAGAAACTTACAAAAGAATAACCAGAAAATAGATTTGATGATAATTCAAGTGGTGATGAAGGTGCTGGAAGAAATGTAGAAGGTAAAAAATTATTATATAGTTTTAATTTAGAAATACTTAAGGACAATGGAGATGCTGATAATAAATCATAATTTAGTGCTGATTCATTAGATGAAAAAAATCCATAATAAACCAATAATAATAATGAGAAAAACACTAAAGGAAAACTTAAGAAACAACACTCAGATGATGGAAACAATAATGAAGAGGATGACGACGATGATGACGATGATATTTCAGATGAATCTAAATTGGATTCTGAAAGAATTTCAGACATTGATAGCTTACTAAGTGATGCAGATGATGCTGAGGAAATTATAAAGAAATTTAGAAAACGTTGATTTCATATCATAATGTTTAAAATGTCTAAAAGAACAATTTCTATCTTATTTTCATTCTTTTTTATTGCTAATTTATTAGTACAATATATATTTAGAGAATTTCAAAATTTATAATTGAGTAAATTTTTTAAAAGATACAGAATAAAATTCTTTCTCATTTTTCATATAGGATTTATTATTTATAAATCACTTGACTTATTTCACCAATCATTTAAAAATAATTCTCTAAATCTAATAATTTAGACAATTTATATTAATTATTTTATTTTTAATAAATTATAGTTATTATGCAACAAGAAGAGGGAGCAAATTGTTTTTGCTTTTAGAAAAAAAATAAAGGAGTTCTCCCTAAAACCTTTAAAAAAACTAATGAAATACTTCGCAAATATAAAAATAATTTTTTAGATGTAAATTATAATACAAAAACTAGATTTCTGATTCTGATATTTTAGAAGTTATTATTAGATTGTATGTTTCAGAAGATAAATAAAAGGCAATTTCGATGTTATCTCGTTGCCGTATTAATCCAAATTTTTAATCAAATAATTTAAGAGAAGATCTTGAATATTTCATACCTTAAATGGTTAATTTTATGGTATTCCATCAATAATTATCAGATGAAAATTTAAAATAATTTGTTTTAAAAGCATCTTCATTAGATTTCTTTTTTGCACATTTGGTTTATTTTTAGATGAAAAGCTTATCTTAAATTATTACTCCTCATGAAACAGTCACAATTAACGTTGTTAAGAAATTTCTTGAATATTTTTTATTTTCAATGGCACAAAATTATTCAGGCAATTTATTAATTGCAACTCACATTCTTTAAATGAACTTAGAACTAAGTAACCTAAAAGATGATAATTCAGATTCAGATGAAAATTCTCCAAAAAAATCATAATTATAAGCTGTTTATTAAGGAACTACTAAATAATAATCAATGAAAGTTAATGAAGCAATTTAAAATTATGGAACAGCTGATTGGATTAAATATTAGAATTCTCATCCTTATGATAATAGAGTAAAAAACCATAAAGAAATAGAGCTTTAAGATTATGAATCAATATTTAATTTAGAAAAAAACGAAAAAACTTTAGATACAGCATTTTTATCAAATATTTAATTTTGGAATGATATTATGAGAATTTGTGATGAATTATCAAAAGTTCAAACTAAAAAAACAGAAGTTTTATAAGCTTGTTTATAAAAAATGAATAAAAATTTACCTGCCTCTGTTTATGTTCCATTTGTAAATAATCAAGTAAGAAATTATGCCATTTTAAAAATTGTTCCTAAAGAAAGCAGAGTATTTTCAACTAAAATGAGAAGTCCCTTTAGTTTAACATTGGAATTATATAGGCCAGAAATTGAAGGTTAAAGCAATCATAAATTTATTGAAAAAAAGATTTCTCGTCCAATTACTATGAGTGTAATATTGTATGTTTACAATTTTAGTAATACAAATTATTGCAAAGAACCTAGAGTTAACTATTTAATGAAGATCATTCTATTATAGAAAATAGAAGAACATTTTCATCTACAGATGCATAAAAATAAATATAGAATGATTTTTAATAAATCAAATTCTTTTAAATGAACCCTTAAGTTCATCATCCAGTAATATAAGGTACATCTCAATTTTATTATTAACATCCAACTGATGAAAATGAAGAAGAATAAATTGATTAATAAAAATTGAAACCTGAAATATCATCTACTTATTCTTTAGAAGAAAATGTATAAGCTTTTAGTATAGATGAAGAATCAAGTATTACACAAGAAAAAAATGGTGAAGGGAATTGGCTTACAAGTATTATTGGAAAAAATAGCTTCATTCAACCAAATAGAGGTTTAGTTTTAACAACTCAAGAACATTTAGAAATGAAATAAGCAATTTTTGGTGAAAATTCACTTGATTAATTTGAAAGAATTAAATCTTAATCAATTTTTTCATAACTATAAACCTGGAATATAATTCATTTAATTATAAAAACAGGTGATAATCTAAAATAAGAATAATTTGCATTATAATTAATCTCTTAATTTGATTAAATATTTAAGAAGGAAGGTTTACCTTTAAAATTAAGATACTATGAAGTTCTTTCAATGGGTCCTGATTGTGGTATTATTGAAATGATCAAAAATGCAACTACTATTGATAGTTTATAAAAACATTTAAGAAAAGAATATACTCAATTCAAGAATTTTTCTGATTTTTTTAGAAGTTTTTTTAGACATAAAATTGATTAAGCCTTAGAGAATTATGTTTAATCTTTAGTAGCATATGGATTAGTGTGTTATTTTTTATAAGTTAAAGATAGACATAATGGAAATATATTATTAGATAAGGAAGGACATTTGATACATATAGATTTTGGTTTCTTTTTATCTATAGCTCCAGGTAAAGGTGTGGAATTTGAAAAAAATGTACCATTTAAATTATTATCTGATTATATTGAAGTTTTAGGAGGAGTATAAGGGAATCTATTTAAAGAAAATTTTAGAAAATTATTTTTTTAGTATTAAATTATTTAAAATTTTAGAGGATTTAAAGCATGTTAAAAACATTAAAAGGAAATTCTACTTCTTGCTGAAATGATGTATACAGGACATGGAACAACTCTACCTTGTTTTTCAAAGGGAGAATAAACTTTAAAAGAATTATAATTAAGATTTAATCCAAAAGTATAGTCATCAGCTGAATTATATGTTCATGTATAAGAACTTATTGATAAATCATTGGATAATTGGAGAGCTAGATGGTATATAATAAAAAATATTTTAGGTATGATAAATTTTAGTATTTTGCATAAGGAATATTTTATTGAGAATTTTTTAATTTATTTATTTTATGTTTCATAAATTTTGACATACATCATGTTCATTTGATTTTTTAGTTCAAATATTAAATTAAGTTAATTCTATTTAGATATTAATAAATATCTACATATGATACTTACTTAAACACATATCAGTTGTTTTATTACAATTAAGTATTTGTATATATTATGTTAATCACTTATATACAGATTTTCTATAAATATTTCATTAAGTAATTCAAAATATTGTAAAATGAATTATTTGGGTATCTTTTTTGTGAAATATAAGTAAGCAATTTAAATGACATATTGAAAGATAGATTTTAATAGATTCATGTTTAAGTGAATGTCAAAATAAGTGGTGAATGCACCGTTATAAAAAACAAAAATTATGAACAGTGAGTTTACCTAATTGTATTAAGTTAGATTAATACATATTAATTAATGAATAAAATATAATTCAACTCTTTACAGGTAAAACAAACTAAATTAGAGTTCACAATTCCAAAACTACCATTGAATTATATTGTAAAATAAGTTCATCGTTTAAAATGTGTAATATAGAGTAGAATAGATGTTGAACTTCTATTGGATTAGATAAATTTTATTATTGAATTGCTAATTGCGGGATAAGTATATTTAATATAAGAATTGTAGTTTGGGACTCCTTCATTGACTTATTTAAATGAATTACGTAACACATTAAAATCCACAATAAATTCGTTTGACCAAGATTAATTGGGTTGTGTTTTAGCAAATATGGAGACGTTGAAAAAGTAGACAAGTTTAGATTATCTTAAAGGGTTTAAAAAGGGTAGTTCTAGAAATTTAAAAATTGCTAATTAACTTTAGAAGTATTCAATATTTAATTATAATTGTAGAATCTAGAAAAGAGTACTATCAGTAATAAGAAATGTGTGTGCTCAATTTGTATTGTTTTGGCTAGATGAACATTAGCCAGAATAAAGTACAGCTTTACGTAGTAAGCGTGTATTTGTTGAAACTAAAACGTAAAATAAAATAATCATTAATTAATTAAAATAGACTTATACAAAGTAAATTAAAAGAATTAGATTTATAAAAGCATAATAAAATCGTGTGTCGAATATGTGAGTAATTAATAGAAGTAGAGATAATGGCAGCTCATTGTATAACATGTGAAAGGAAAGCCGAATAAAGCAAAAAATTATTATAATTAAATTTATAATTATCAGATGCATCTTAATTAGCATATAAATTAAAACATGATGTTTAAATTAAGTTGGGTAAATTGAGTTTATAAGAGTAAAAGTAAAATAGATAGAAATTGAAGAAATAAGAGGAAGAAAAAAAACCATTAAGATCACTTAGAAGAACACATACTATTCATATAGAAGATAATAAAATCTAATAAGAGGAAGAGGAAAAAAATAAAGCTAAAAAATAATTAGCATTTATAAACTAAGTAATGACTACAATAGTAAATTATACTGAAAAGGTTTTAAATAGTAATATTAATAATGAAGATAATAAATGTAATTTTAATATCTATTTATTTAGTAAATCGAATAACATTTGATGAGTTAACTGAAGCTAAATTCAATTTAGAAAATGATTAAAATAATGAGTAAGTACTTGAAATAATAGATAAAGCTAGATCTTGTATATATGATAGAATGGAATACTTTAAAATTATTTAAAATTTAGAATCATAATAAATTTAAGAAAGTCAAAAGTTAAACTAAAATATTGAAATTGATTTAAAATAAAAATACAAGAATTCTAATTCAAGTTCATTTAGAGTATCTAAATTTACAAATATTACCACTGCAACCTAATAAAAGCTTAAAAGAAATGATACAATCTATGAAGAAGATGATGATTTTGTATGTTAAACTCCAAAGAATTTAAGTAGCAATAATAAAAAGAAGAATGTTATGATTATGTCATTAATTAAGTAAATAACAATAATGATTATTAGTAAAGATAAATTTAATACAAATAATGTTGGAAGTGTAAATGATATTAATAGAAGAGATAGTTTAACAACTATGTCAATGTCTAGATCTCAAGTACTCGGAAGTAATTAAATCAAAAGGACTTTTTTATCTAAAAACAATTCCGATGAGCAACCTTAATAACAATCTAATCCAGGTTCTAAAATATTAGATAAAATTGTAAATCTATCAAATTCTTCTGATACATTAATTAGTCCAAAATCTAATAAACCTTCAATATTTCGAAGAGCTTAATCTCCTACTGCTGTTGATTCTGTTATTGAATCTTCTAATTAATCTCCTACTGGAAGAATGGGATCATCTGATTTTTAAGATGAAACCCCTAGAAATTAGAAGATCTGTTCTTTTGCAGATTTTGCTCAATGTGATTCTGATTAAGAAATTCCAATGAAAAAATAGTTGGTTCCATCAATTGGATTAGGTAGATAAGTAGATTCAATTGAAGATATTTAAAAAGACAAAGAAATAAATGCAATAAATTCATTTGAAAATATTAATTAATGTGAATCTGATCAAGAAATTAATTAAATCTAAAATTCTAATCCTAACTCCAATCAAGAAATGAAAAAGTCTACATAAAACAGTATGAAGAATAGTGATAAAAATATGATGATGAAAGGCAGTAGAAAATTACCAATACAGATAAATTAATAAGATTAACAAAAACCTTTACATATTGAACTAGGAGCAAGAATAGAATCAGAATTAATAATTGAAGAATCTCCAAATTCTATTTAAGGATAAAAAATAGATCCATAAGATTTGAGTCCAAATCATTCTTCTTCTAGTGCAAAATAAGCTATTTTTAAATAGGATGAAATTGATTAAGATATAGATTTTGATAATTCTTTGAGTAGACCTAAAAAAAGCTTATTTTATCCTTAAAATTCAATCAATAATAATATGAAATAAAGTATGGCAGTTGCTCCATAAAAATCTAAATAATCATATGATTTTGAAGTAATAACAGTTGATAGAGGTTATAATTCAGATTCTGAACTAGTGAGTATAAATGCTGAAAAAACTAATTAATCTTCTGAGATTGGTTTGAAAGATTTTGAATTTATCAAACCTCTAGGACAAGGAGCATTTGGATGGGTATTTTTAGTGAAAAAGAAAACTTCTGGGGATTTATATGCTATGAAAATAATTGATTGTTCTTAAAAAGTAAATTTTAAATGCATTATTTAAAGTAATTGGAAACTTAGTTGGATACTTTAAAAGCAGAAAGAAACATATTTGAAATTTTATCTGGAGACTTTGTAGTTAAAGCATACTATTCATTCAGTCATGAATAAAATTTATGCTTTGTCTAAGAATATATGGTTGGAGGAGATTTCTCACATATTCTAAAAATGTATACGGTATAAAATATTATTATATTAAGGCTCTAGATGAGGAATACGTCAGACATTATATAGCTGAAGTCGTATTGGCTTTAGAATATTTGAGATCTAAAAAGATTGTCCATAGAGATTTAAAACCAGATAATATTCTATTAGATAAATAAGGTCATGCTAAATTGGCTGATTTTGGATTATCAGAGGTTGGCTTTAATAATAGATTAAAATTAAAATTAAGATAATAGGACATTGAAGCGTAAGATAATATCTATATATTAAGAAACACTATTCCTGAATTTGCTGATCATAATGATCCATAATATGATACTATTTTTGATTTAAAATTACCTTAAGCTTAACAAAACATTAGAGCAAGCATTCAAAATTATAGTAGTAAAAATAAAAGAATTGTTGGAACTCCAGATTATATTGCTCCAGAAGTCTTAAAAGGAGAATCTTTAACAAATAGTAGTTTAGATTATTGGAGTTTGGGAGTCATAATGTATGAAATGCTTTGTGGAATTCCACCATTCAATGATGATTCTGTTGAGAAGATTTTTGATAATATTTTGAATTATAGAATTGAATGGCCAAATGTAAGTGATGTTGAAGAAGAAAGCATATCCCATAATGCTTATGATTTAATGTGTAGATTATTGGAACCAGATTATACTAAAAGAATTGGACATTAAGACATTAATGAAATAAAAAATCATCCATACTTTGAAGGTATTAATTGGAATAAGATACTTTCTATGCCTGGTTTAATTGTACCTAAGATGGTCTTAAAGGAAACAGAAGCTGATGGCAAAAATTGTGAAAAAGTCTAATAGTTCTTAAATAATTTAGAAAAGAAGGAAGTTAAAAATTAAACTTTAGCATAAAAGTTAAAAAGTTAACTATCCAACTTAGAAAGATTAGATTTATTAGTTAAATTAAGTTTAGAAGAAGCAAATGATAAACTGTAATAATTAGTATTTATTAATAGTTCTAAAATAAGGACAGAAGAAAACAAATTAAAAAGAACCTTAAACAAAATTGATCATTATGAATAAGAACATTAAGTTTAAATGTTACTTTTGTATGAAGATGTTTTCTGAATTTAACTTCTTGTATTTTAATATTATCAATAAATATTTATTATTATTAAACAAATGCCCTTCAATATATTTAACTCTTTTTTTGAGTAAAAACTTTTTATTTTATAATCTATTCTATATATATAAAATAATACAGAAGAGTTTAGTGGATTAAAATTATTTGGTTTTGGATTATATAAACTTGTTGAATCTCTAGGTCTCATTTAACTTGCCTTCTATAATTGGGAATTATTCAAATTGTAATCAATAGTAGCAAGATTTCTAAAACTACTTGCACCTTAATGTCTTTCAGTCAATTAATAATCATGTTTAACAGAAATTCTATTACCTTATTCATATTCTGCAATCTAAAACAATTAAATATAATAATTTTACTTTTAATATTAATTCATTATTTTTATTTTAATATTCTTCTTTCAAAGTTATTTATCTCAATAATTCTTATTTTACTATACTTAATTAATTCTATAACTCAATCAAAAATTGTTAATTACTAAATTAATGAAATATATATATACTCATCTTATTTAGATTATTGAATTTTAGTAATTTCTTAATTTTATATTTATTCCTATTAATTTGCAATAAAATTAGATAATTATTAAATTTCATTATCTTTTTTATAGATAATTTCTTAAACTTCCATTATTTTTTTATTAAATTATTCATGAAGTTCTTTATTTTCTATTTTTTTTTCTTCATCAAATTATTTCAATGCATTTTCTAATTTATTACAATGTTACATTAATTAAGACATTTTTTCTTGTAATACAACATTATCTTAAATTTATATTTGATTTTCTTAAAAATTTGTTTAATATTATTCTAATTTTACTGAATATGTTTGTATATTTTCATTAAGTTTTTTTACTTCATCATTCTTTTGTCTTATCAAATCTGATAATCTTTTGATTTCTCTTTACATTTCATCATTCTAAATCTAGATTTATTTACATGTATTTTTGCAAATTAAATTTTCTTATTCACTTGTTTATAATTTGAATTATAATTCCTATTATAATTATTAAATCTATTAATTATATTTTGTTTCTTAACTTTTTATTTTAAATTCATAATCTTATTTGCTTAATTCAAATTCTCCCCATTATCTTTTCATTTGATTTTCTGATTCATTTAATTTATTCTTTAATTCACTAATAATTTTTTATGAATCATTTTTCATTTTATCCCTTTATTCATATTAATTAATAATTTATTAATATTATTTTATTTCTTCTTAAGATTTACTATTCTCTTTAATTTTATATTATAATTCATCAACTTAAGATTATAATTCATATAATTATGATCTCATTTTTGTATTTTCATATTTCATTTTTTCATTTGCAGATATTAATTCTTCTACATTTTTCTTTTATAAATTTAATTATTTTTCTAAATATTACATATCATCTGTTTTTAATTATAGTTATAATTCTAATTGTTAAATTTTAAATAAATCTTCATCCTTACTTACTTCAACAGTTTCTTTAACAATTTTAATTTAAGATTATAATTTTTATAATTCTAAATTATTTTATTCTAAATTTCTAATTTTCTATTCTAATTATTAAATCTTCAAAAAATCAGAACTAGATGATCTCTTTAATGATTCACTTTATTAATTCAATTAGAAATTTAATTTTTTATTTTCCTCTCTCAAAATGGTTATTTATAATTAAAGTTCTTAAATTTATTCTAAATCTTAATTTATTATAACTGATTTTTTAAGTTACTCAGAATATTAAATTTATAAGTTTAAATTTTCCTCTTATAATTATTAAACCATTTTTTCTAATTATTGAATTCTTTATAAATCTAATTTCGAAGAAACTTCTACAAACTCTGTTATTGTTGATTATTTCTTTTTACAAACTTCCTCATAATCTTGTCTTAAAATTATTAATTATCTTTCTAATTCTTTAATTCTATTTTTATCAACTTCAGATTAAACCTCAACATAATTTCGCTTTTGATTATTTAATATCATATATTCTGCTTATAATTATTGTAATTCTTATCTCAACTATTTAATTAATATTTAATCACCTTCTGATGGAACTTCAATAACTTCTTTAACAACTTCCTTCAATACTTATTATTTCAATGAATTCAATTCAAAATATTGTTCTTTTAGTATTCTTACTTATTCTTCTAATTATCTTATTTTAATTTTATCTTCTTCCAATCCTTTATTTTATTCTTATTTTATAATTTAAGTATTATATTGATTTTAAAGACTGATATATTATTAATTTACTATGACATATTCTTATTAAAGATTTGATAAAGATTACTCTAATTAAATAATTCTATCTTTATCCTATTAATTTTCAACTTAAATATATTCTTTGATAACTTCATTTTTCTTCTGATTTAATAAAGCATAATCTTTTTAAAAATTCTCTACTTGTAATTCTAATTGTTATATTCTTTTTTTATCTTATTTTTATTATTTTGATATTAATATTTCTCTTTCTGAAAATTTGAGTTTTTCAATTTCAATTTTTGTTTCAAGATCAAAACATTATGTAGATTTAATGTTTAATTAAGCTTCTTATTCTTTAACTTTAATTTATAATTGATCTAATTAAAATTACATCTATTAAATTTAATTTTCTTATTCCTCATTATTTATATATTATATTTCTTCTATTTTTTAAATATATTTTGTGATTGTCTCTTTATAATGTTATTCTTTTTAATATAATGTATGCATTATATTCTATTATTCTTCTACTAAAGCTTCTAAGTTATGAATGGTCTTTTAATCATATTCATTTTAAGTTTTATAACTAAGATATTAACTAATTTAATTTCTTAGTTCTTGATATTTGTATCTCATATCTTCATTTTATGTCTGTTATTCATAAAACTTTTCCTACCAAAGTTTTGTTTATATATCATGTTCTTTCATTTATTATTCCATTTATCTAATATCTCTTTTTAATTTTTCTGTTTATGCTTCATAATTATTAACTTCTAATTATGTTTAAAATTTAATTCTACTCTCTTCATAAGATTAAGGTTTACAATTCATTTCATTTTATAACAATACATATTTCTCATTAATACTTTTAATTTCAATTTAAAAATGATTTTCTTAATCTTTTAATCTCTTTGTATATTGCTCTTCTTAATATTATAATTTATCTTTTAATCTTTAAATTTCTTCTAATTAAGAATTAATCTATAATATTGATTATTCTTCTTTTAAATTTGATTTTTTATTTCTTTAATATTCATTTTCTTAAAGTTCTAATTGCAATTATTCTATTTATTATTTTAATTTAGAAATTTCATTTTTATATTATTGATTTTCTACTTTTTATGAATTTATAGTTTAATTTTAAAATTACTCTAATTTTTATTTCATATTGTGTTATTCATAAATTAATTAAGATTCACTTTATTATTTTAATTATAATTCTGCTTTTAAATTTGAAATCTATTTAGTTTATTAATTAATCTAATCTTTCAATTAGGATATATTATCAAGATTAATCTATGATTCTTCATATTTACTTTTATATATTAATTATTAATTTTCTTTTTCTAAAATAATTATTTTGTTTGATAATTCATTCTTCATTATTTCTAAATTATTATACCTTTATTGCCATCCTGAAATCTCTGCAGACAACAACTAGTTTTAACTTCTTAGTTAATCAATGTCAGATTTGAATTATTATTTTTATTCATTTAATGCTTTTTCTAATTTTTCTTAACTACTATTATAATCTTCAATCAATATTTAAATATCTTCTTCCATCTCTTTTATTTTTCTCTAATATTATGATACATTCATATCTGTTATTTCAATAGTTTAAGTTAAACGGTTTTCTTTGAATAATTTAAGTTCTGATTCTAAATTCTGCTTTTATTTGTTTAACTCATTAATTTACTATTACAAATTTAAATTATCTATGAAATTGCTGTCATAAAATACCTTATTAAATCTTTTATACTTGTCTATCAGTTTATTATTGAGATCCAAATTGGTTTCTAATTCTTGAGAGTTCCTATTAAGCAGCTGATAACTCAACATTCATTAGTAATTATTTTTATTTTAACTCATTATTTTCTATTTGGAATGATTTAAGTAACAAATTCTCTTTATTCAATTGTTCACATAAATCTCTATAATGAGATAACTCTTATTTTTATTCTTCTCTTCTTCGTTATTCTGAAGGTCTTTCATCATACTAAGAAGATTTTCTACCACTATTTGGTAAAATGTCGTTCCCATTAATACTGGTTGACTAGTATAAATAATTACTTAATCATGTATTTCTCATTGACATTTGCAATAGGATTCAGAAGTTACTATTACATAAATATATATTATTTATTTATGTTATAATATCAATTTACTATAATTCATGTTAACTCAAATCCTGTATTTGAACTAATAGCTTTAACTAATTTTTCTCTGAGAATGTCTTTATTTTTATAATCAGGCAATTTTAGGATATTAAAGCAAGTAGAAGCAGTTGGTAATTTCTATATTTCATTTGGATATAAAATTGGTACTTTTTAAATCATAAAAGGAGGTTCTAAACTTTTAAAACCCTATATTATAAATAATTAAATATACTTAAGTGGGAGCTCTGGAGCAAGAAGAAAAGAAGAACAAAAACTAACTCTGTTGTTCATATTCGAAATCATTTACAACACTCCATAGATCTTGGATTGTCTTATCTTAAGGTAAATACCCTTGGTATTTTGTATTAGAAATCAAATCTTAAATATCAATAACTGGCTATCCTGATATTAATAATTATAATTCCTGATTAGTAAATAATTTGAATTACTCAGGATCTATCACTTATTCAAGTCCTTCCCTAAAAAATTAACTTTATTCTTTTATCTATACTATTATTATTATACTTTACCTATTTATTCAATCTAAAATGGCAATACAAATTTATGTACTATATTTTATTATCATTAGTCACATTTATCTATCTCCCATTTGGTATTAAATCAAATTCTATGATCTATCCATAAAACTCTTAAGTAATTGAAAAAGTTAATCCAAAATCAGTTACATCTTGATTCTTTAAATTACAAATTCTATGATATTATTCTGAATCATAAAATCGAAAATCATTAATTGTATTTGTTATTCCTAAAACCTAATTTAGAAACACTTAATTTAAGACCTTTTCAATAAGAACTCCTTCATATATAGCTTTACCTATTATTTTACCAATAAATGCATATTTTCTAATTATATAATAAATTATACTATTTTTCTTCCTTCATAAAAGCAGGATTAGGAATCAAAGTCTTTTCTGGAGTCTCAATGAATAAACCAAATGCTGGATCCAATGCTTAATTAGTTACTCTTGTTATAAACTCTTTTGTCACTCCTCCAGCATCAATTCCATCTTCTGGAATACCCATTTGATTTACAAATTACACATGAAACATATTCTTTAATTATTTTTTTTCTAATTAATCAAATGCATCCTAAAATTCTTATCCTCTTCTAATAACAATCTTCATATTTTATTTAACAATTGGTTCTCCAAATTCATCATAAGTAATTAAAGCTAATATATTTCTATTGAATTAATTTTTATCTTCTTGCAAATATTAATTAAACTTTTAAATTCTCTATGAAAACAATGAAAAAATAGGTAGATGATTATTTATTTTCATTTTTTCATATTTCCATTCATAAAAATTTAAAATCTAATTTCTATCAAATATTTCTCTTATAAACAATTTAAGTTCCTTATAAATGTGTTAATTAATATTATTTTATATACAAATCTTTGTATATTAAATGATAAATCCAAATATTTCAATAAATTCTTTCTTTACTATTTCATTCTTAAGAGCAATATTTTTAAATTCTTTATCATCCAATAATTAGAATTCATAAGCCTTAATATAACAATACACAGATATAGATTCAGGAGGAATCATTTCAAAATCTTTTAAATTAGATAAATAAAGTAAATATTTAGTTAAATAATTATCTATGTATCTTAATTTTTACATCTATTAGATAATTTCTAATTTTCTATTTTACCCAATATTAATTAAATAGTATATAAATTTACTTATTTAACTTTAGTCTATCAATTATTAATTTTTTAATAAACTTAAAAGTTTTGAAAAATTTAATTAATCTATAAATTAGATAAATTCTTTTTTTTTTCTTAATATTTTTAATTTTTTATGTTCTGAATTATTTAGATATTATAAATTTTTAAAATCTGAAAATAAATTCATTTTATAATAATTCTACTCTAAAACCTGCAATAATTAGGTTAGGATTTCAAATAATAATTCACTATTTAGAATTTTTAAAGTTTGTAACTTATTAAACAATTTTCTTATTTATTATATTTCCTATTCAGAAGTAAATACAATTGAAATTAGCTAATTATATTACTAAGATTTTTTAATATGATTCATCAATTCACAAAAATCAAATGAATTGTTTTATTCTATTAACATTACATAATTAAACCCTAAATCCCAAACTTCTTATTCATTTCTTTTCAAATTTAAATAGTAAAATATAAATGTTTCAAATCCTTTCTATACTATTAATTATGGCAAATTACATTATAAGATTTAAGTCTCTAATCTTTAGAATTAACCATAAAATTAATCTAAAATAATAATAATTTCTACCTATCTAATTAACATTTAGTAATTGATGAATTGAAATCAATATTTCATTTATAGATTTAATAAAATTACTAGCTTATTTTGATGTTTGAATCAAATAAAACCCAAGTAATATGGCTTTGGAAAACTAAAAATATATTTATTTATTAGTACATGCAGTCTATTTATTAAAAATTGGTTTCCTTTAAATAAATTAATAACAAAGTTATTCTACTAAATTTACAAGCATCCACTAAATAGTTGAAGCATATTTAAAACATAGGTTTCATTATTTAAGACATTCTTTTTATTTAAAAGAAAAAAGGGTTTTAAAAATTCTGGACATTTATTTAGTGTTATGTTACAGACTTTGTAAAATGTTTGCTAATATAATATTTATAAATACTAGATCTTTCATAAATTGAACTGATAGAGCTGTTTAGATTTTTGGTAGATACTATTAAATTATCGATTGTTTTAAATCATTGCAAATTTTTGTATTTTTATAAAATATAAAAATTTTGGATGCCATTTCAATTTTTTTCCTTTCCAACTCTCTAGATTACTTCTCTTCTTTTTTTTATTGCAAGAAGCTTTATTTATTGAATTTACTTATCATTAATTTATAAAAATTATATATCAAAATATAATCAAATATATATATAAACTATATTAAATTCATAACTAAATCAATTCTAGTTTACTATAAAATCATAAATCAATAATAATAGTTCCTTAATTTTAGCTCTAACATCTTATTATTCCTAAATTGCACCTAATTCTTTTATATTTTATTTATATGCTTTAGTTTCAACGGCTTCCCTTATTAATTATTCATATTTCTTTCTTTTTTAATAAATTAATTATAATTAAGACATAATAATTTTAGGCCAAGTTTCTGATGATTCAGGTTCAGCAATGAATTTATTTGTAAAAAATACTAATTCAACTCTTTCTGATGGTTTTTATTATTCAATATCAAAATTAAACTTATTTTTCATAAATTCTATAAATAATTTATTTTGAGCAATTTCTTCTAAACAAAATTTTCTATTTACTAAAATGACATTGAAATTAGAAAAATGAAGAAGTTTAAGCATTAAAGGAAAAGCTTTTTAAACTTAAGTTAATCGACTAAAAAATATCTTGAGCAAAGGAGATTACATATTTTATTTTATACATATTTATCTAATATTTTTAGCTCCTATTTGATCACAATCCAAATTATTACCTATGTTTTGTTTTATTTCAAAAAGCATTGTTCCAATTCTTAAAATATTACTTCCAAATTCTTAGAATAATTTATGACTATCTACTTTATTTTATAATATAACTTTTATTTAATCTCCACAAATATTCCAAATAGATTAAAGAAATATATTAAATTTTTCATCTCTATATATTCTTAGTAATTCATCATAACATTCAGATTATTTATTTTTAATTACAATAATCATATCCTCCATTGCATTTAATATAGATTTATTTTGATATTGTTAATATTTTTAAATTATTATCTACCTAATCTTTTTCGGTACAAATTAACATAGCATTGGCAATTATAATTCTTATGAAAATTTTTGTAATTAAGGGACAGCACATATTTACTTAATTAACTCGAAATCTGGATGAATAGTTAACATACCCTTTTAATCTAGTATTGCAAAATCCTTACTCTTATAAGTTAACTTAATTCTTTTCAAAATTTCTGGAAAAGGAAACTATAATTCATTTAATCTCAATATTAAAATCTTAATTGTAAAATCCTCCATTTTTTCAAATCTATTAAATTCATGACCTTATTAAACATTAGAATTAATGGGTTAATGTTACTACTTTAATTTATTTTGATTTAATATAATAACCTAAAGTGATTCTTTTGATTTTTCAAAATCTATTAATTTGTTTTCCTCTATTGAATCTTATTGTAATTCAATACAAAATGAATCTTGACAATTTTTAATTGATTGTTAATCAAGACAATCAATTTAGTTATTTAAATAAAATGACATCAACTTAATAGTTTAGACTATTAAAATAAATGTTAATGATTTTTTTTTAAATGTATTATAGACATTAAATTCTTTTGCTTTATGAAACACTTTCATCATTGCTTTTATTTCAGATTAAGTAAAATTACTTAATTTAATGGATCTATTTTTATTAAAAAACTCTTCTAATAAAATCAATATATTTAGAATAATCTCCTCATCATCTATAGGATTAAAGTTTAAATTCAATTGATCAATATCTTAAATTTTTGGATTATATTTTGAGAGAATCTAATTTAAGGAAGTTACTAATTTAGCTTTGTAATTTATTTGAGCTCTTCTTTCTGTTATTTTAATAAAGGCTAAAATTTAAGGAAAAGGAATTTTAGAAATTATTATCTATTTTAATTAGGATTTAATATTTGTAACATATTATTATTTAAATTGATTTTCTAAATTTTATTTTGTAAAATCTATTATATCATTTTCATTTTCCTATTATTTATTTTCTATTCTCAAATAATCATTCATTGTATTAATTTATATTTAAATTGAATTTTAGTTAGTTGATTGCTACTGATATTCCTGTAAAGATTGTTGATGAATGTTTTTAAGAAGTTTAGAATTCAATTTTTATTCTTTTGACATTGTTATTAATTTTAATTCTGCAATTGGTCAATCAAACTTTGATCAAATAAAAGCATCATTTTTTATTAAATACCTTATTATAAAAGATGGAAATTATTAGCTTCTTAGCTAAATAATATAAAATAGAATCATAAATAATTAAATAATCATTATTTATATACTTGAGATAATCATTAAGTAAAAATAATAATAATTGTATCATAAGAAACTCATGATCTTTTATAGTTTTCAATTCATTTAAATTAATTAATATTTAAAATACTAATTATTATAAATTAAATCAACTAATTTATTAGTAATAATAAAAGTAAAATGATTTTATAAAGTATTATCTAATTATTAATATAATATTAGATTTAGAAATTATTTTAATTCTACTTTGTATTTTTTAATTTTAATTAACCTACATAATATATAATATATTTTATTTTTTTATTATATAAGATAATATATAATTAACTCAAAATTTTTGAAAGGAACAAAAATGTATTACATATAATAAAGGATGTTTTACATCAAGAAATTCCAACCAATTACTCTGAATAGACCTAATAAATTATAATAAATAATACTTAATTTGAATATGCAATATAAACAGAAATATTTAATTAAATATGAAGTTATCTTAAGAATATATTAATATATTGGATTCTTACTATATGATAATATAATAAATTTCAAATAAAGACTTAAATTTATCAAAAATTTATATATAACAGTTCATATTTTTTTAAGAAAGTATTTTTATTCTATAATATTTAAAAAAGGTTTATTTTCTAGGTGTAAATTATTCGTATATCACATTTCCTGTATCTTAATGAGTTTGAATAAATCGAGTATTATTACCTGTAAAATATTTTTAATTTTATATATGATTTTATCTGAAAGAAACAAGGCTAACATGTAATTGCATAGAAAATATAAGCAAATCTCATTATCTTAGGTTTTAAAGAAACCACTTATAATAAAATCCTTACCACCGATATTTGTTACCTCTGTTCAGAAATCACTGAAGAGCAATTAATAAAAATCAGAAAATTGTTAATCTCAAAGACTTTCCTAACCATCTATTTTGAATAAATTTAATAGCTTTGGAGCAATTGGATAATTATGTACACCTTCTGAAAAATATCCTAAATAATAGCAAATAGTTTTATTGAGCAGTAAAAAATTAGACATTCGAGATAAAACAAAATAAACTAGTTATAGAAAAATAAATGTTAAACCATTATAGATTTTAACAAAGAAATGTTATACAGAGGAAGAAATTGAAATTGATAAAGTCAATAAATGGTCTTAGACTACATTTGATGAAGATTAACTACTTGAATATTTGAATAAGTGAATAAATGAATTAAAAAAACCTGATTTTTTTTTGTATATGAGTCTTTTTGTAATTATCAATTATCGATTTTTGTTATTTATTTAATGAAATTGCTAATAACTATATTTTTGTGTTTAAGTGCTTATGCTTTTACAGATTAAATGATGTCTTTAGAAGAACTAGCAAAATTTGATGTGAAAAGTGTAGATTGTACAAAGAATGATCAAATATCTTTGATTGAAAAATAAATGTAATAATGGGAAGACTTATTAAAACATTAAAAAGCTATTACTCATGATATTAAAATATTAAAATCTATGGAACATCTATTATCATAAAAATCAAGTTCATTTCTAGAAGTTCAAACCTAAATTTCTGGAAAAAAATTGATGAAAAAATTACATAAATTAGAATTACCTTTAACTAAAAGTAAAATTGGATTAGCATAAGTTTAATTATTGAAAGAATAATGCAAAGGTTTAGATTCTGAAAGTAAAAATTGAATATACATTTAATAGATCCTGAAGAAAGAGCTTAAGCAAAAAAGGAATTATGTAAACTGTTAAAGGAATATGTTAATAATCTAAATAATTGTAAATAGTAATGCACTAATTCTCCTGTTACAGTTATTAAGATTAAAGGATAGATTAAAGACTTAGAAATTATTAGAGATAACTGTTAAAATGGAAAAGTAAGTGGTGTCAAAGTTATAACAATAGATGGTGAGAATGAAGAATATAAAGTAGGACCAGATGGAATAGCTGAAAAACAATGATTATTAATAAATATTGATTAAGAGAAAGAACATTAAAGCTCTATTATTTTATTAAATGGATTATACATTTATATAAAATAGTGAGAATTTCAATTTCTATGGATTGTTCTCCTATTTCAAATTATCTTTTTAGCAAGACTTACAATTAAGTTAAATGATTCAGAAAGCCAAAGAAGAGAATACTCTTGAGAAAAGAATATGTGATCCAGAATTTTCATATAATCCAAAATTATTTAGTATCAGCAATTATCCTAAAAGTTTTAATCTAAACAATATCATAAAATATTCATAAAAAGATACTAAGTAAAAAATAATGTCTTGCAAATAATTTGGGTTATAATTTAAGGATTAATATTTTTATGTTTTAGGTTTGCGATCTTTACTATATTAACCTATAACTTTTGAGTAAAGTCTTTAATAAATGTGTATGTTCTAAAACTTAATTTAGCCAGAAGATTATATCCATGGGTAGCGTTCGATGTATTCCTCAAAAAGAAATTATTAGTATTATTTTTTAACTTTATTGATCATGTTTATTGTGAAATATATGATGGAGAATAAACTAAAATTATTCATTTTGTTTAATTAGAAGTATAATATATTTGATTATTTAGAAAGTAACTTATGGATTCTAATTAGATGAAATAATAGTAACAAATAATAATAAATGCATAATCTATAGAGCTAGATATTAGGAATAAAGAAACTATATAGCTGAGGTTTTTCGTTTTGCTATTGCAAAAGATCTAGAAATAAAAGTAATGTCTCATTTTATTAATCCTAATGATTCTGATTTTAGAGCTAAAATGATAGAACAAGAAAATGTAATAATAATATTAAATATTTTAGAGCTTAAAAGTTGTGTAACAATCAACCTTTAAATTAATAAGAAATGATAGAGTTATTCCTCCTTCACCTTTACTAACATATAAAGGTAGAATTATTGGTGATTATTTATCAACTCCATTGCATGGAAATTTTACATATTATATTAGTTTAGGTTAAAACAATATAGTTTAACATAAATATCCATAAAATTATGTTACAATAATACCTTATATGTCAGATCAATTTTATATGGAAGAAACTTAATGTTAAACATGTTTAGGATTACATGTTGGTAAATAGTTAAATTATGCTTATTTTGGAAGTTCTTAAGAAAGAGAAAACTTTTAAAATACTATAAGAGCTAGAAAAAGTGGAGTAATTAATTTAGATGTAATTTTTATTCATTTTGAAGAGGATAGTTTAGATAGATTAGTTTAATTTAAAAGAATTAAATTAAAAGAAATTAATCAAAGAATTGAATAAACAGAATAATAGTTACAATAATTATAATCTATAAAGAATGAATTAGAAATGGATGTAATAGAAGGAGAATTGAATTCAGCAGTCAAACTTAAATACAGTAGTTTAATGATTTAATCATAATCAATACTTCATGAAGTATCAGGTTTTGATTCACCAAGTTTCTTGTAATAAAAATGATAATTATAATTGTTTTAATTATTGAAGGTTACTTATTTAAATATATATATTTTGAATATAAATTTTCTATAATAATATTCAGTAAAATTAAATATAATTATACTTAATAATCATTCATATTCTTCTACAATTAGCTAAATCTTATTTGAATCTGTAAAGATATCACTAATAATTTAATCTTATTTATCTTATAATGATAATCTTGGAAAATTCTAAATAAGATCTATTTTTTAATTAGGATCATTGAAACAATCATCTTCTTAACATATAACATATTCAAAAATCGACTAATAGTTTAATCAACTTTTTACTGATATTTTTTCATTAAAATGAAATCTTCTACTTTTAGTTGCATATGGAAATCTAAATAAAATTTCAATTCCTTCTTCATCATTAGGTTCATCTGGTAAGTTTGATAGTATAGTTGCTTTTTATAACAGTCTAATTTCCTAACATTAAATTATTTCATACATTTAATTATTGTTATTCCAATAATTTATTCTCCTCTTATTATTGTAATTCTTATTTAATTCTTTTTTTCTCTAACACTTATTATTCTGCACTTCTATAAGCTTCTTATTATTATTATATTAATTATTCTCTTTCTCTTTATTTTATATCCTACTATCTTCTCTCAAACTATTTTTATTATTATTATTAACCATAATAATTTGGAAGATATTAAGATGGAGTATCAACTTCTCTCTTAACTTATTCTTCCAAAATAAATTACTTATTAAATTAACCATTTAGTATTTTTAATTAAACAGCTAACTCTTCAAAGTTACTATCTAGTGTCAAATTTATTGTGTCCATTAATACAGGTTACTCAGTTAAATCTAATCTGTAGATAAGAAAAGATGGAGGTTCAGGTTTAACTGGCAACTAATCATCTACTTGGGGACTTTACAAAAATCCCACAATACGATAATGTTTATTAACAATCTAAACAAAATTTTTGCTGTTTATCATTTTCTATAATGAAAGCAAAGATTATTGATTGTGTAAATATATCAATAAAGGTTTTGATTCTTAATGGGCTTTCTACAGATTATCAATAAAGTTGCCCATTTAGAAATTGACAATTGTTTAAATCTATTGTTATTAAAGATATGTCTAAAATTCTATTCCATGATTTTGTTTTAGTTGAACTGAAAAATTAGAAAAATTTTAATACAAATAGAGGTTAATGCCTTCCAACCATACTTTAAGCTTTTTTTTAAGATACCATCATCATTAGCTCTTTTTTCCTCTTAATATTTTTTATATCTCTCAATTAAATTTGTATCTGGTGCTGATCTCTAACGAATTAAATCTGGAGGTGGATTATTTTGATTGAAAATCATAGTATTCACTATTTCTAAGAACTGAAAATACCATCTTTAATATCTTGCTAATTATAAATTTTTTGCTGATTTTATGGCTATGATGAATTTTAAGATTGATAACTTGATTACTAACTTAAATTTGGTTGTCCTTCTAAATCTAGATAGAGTTAAAGAGCATTCTAAATATATGTATATAAACAAACTTCTAAGTTATTGTCCCCCATCTAAATATATTCATATGCTTTTTATTCATCTTAACATCCAGTTAAAGCCATAAAGTCAAGTATGTCTTTTTCTTAAAAAGGCTGCATTAATTAAAATAATATATATTATTTTCTTTAATTAATATCAGCATTTATTAGATGTTTGTAAAATATAAATTTTATTATTATATTCAAATTAATTCTAAACTATATCTAAATCTTTTTCAAAAAAGTATTAAATATCTAACAATTATATAAATTCTCTCATTACTAACAATTTATTGTTATTTAATTATAAAAATTCAATATTATTCTTAAATTAAAAAAAAAATATTCATATAAGATAGTTAGAAATAAATTAAAAAAAGAGTAATTTAATAAAATAAAAATTAAGATTAAATTAAGAACTCTAATTTATATGCTTTTTTAAAAATTTTATAAGTTAATCATACTGTAAATTGATATTATTTAATAGGTATTACCAATATATAGTTTTAAGAAATCTAATTAAAAAAAATTACAATAATTAATAAAGATGATATAAAACTCAAAAAAATTTTAATGATGCTTCTAATTCTGAGAGAAATTTTGTATATTAATTTTATTTGATTTCAATTTTTTTCATTTGATCTTATAATTTCTTATTTAATTCCAGTTTATTTAATTCCCTATTAATTTGATTAATTGTAAATTGCTCTATTTATGTGAGAACAGCCTTTTAAATATTTGTTAAAGAGATTGATAAGATTCCCTTCTCTGCTAATCGATTTAGAAATGCCATAAAAGTAAAAATAAATTATTTGTTATCAGTAAGAAACAAGTGAATCTAAGTTGATGTTAGTTGATTATTTGTATAATAGTCTGTTAATGTTTTGGATTTATTTAAAATAAGATTCATAGCAGTAGTTTAATCTATTTATTCAGTAAGTTATATTGGTTGCTGTTATACTTTTTATGTGGCATATCTATTAAATCTCTTTCTTTATCCAAATTATTTAGGAGGTAGCTCTTCACTTACTTATTTTTATAAGGATTTAGTAGATTCCTATAAATTAGATTAACTCAATTTGGGTAATATTTAATTGATTGATCCTTTTTGATTAAGTCTAAATTTGGTGTATTATGTCTTGCTAGTTTCAGCATCTGGAGTTCGTTTTTCGCTTTATGTCGATTCATTTTATTCAAATTCATCTGCATCCATTGAAGTTCTAAATTCTTGTTATTTCTTGAGTTCTTTGATTGTTTTAACAGTAGTTGATTATATTATATTTTATTCCATTTATTATTTCATAAATTATATTATTATATATATAATAAATTACAAGATTATAAAATAGAGTATAGATCATCATCATTTATTGATTTTATATTTTGTATAATCTTTTTAATCTTCCCTGAATTCTAATTATCTTAATCAAAAAATAAAATGAAGATTTATTTATTAAACACTCTATGATTTACTCATTTCACTTTATTTAATTATTTTATAAACATTTAATTTCTCTAATTTCTATGGTCTGATACTATGATAATTCTTTAACAAAGTCAATTTTTAAAATTCTCCAAAGTCATACAATGAGAAACTAAAAATTTTAATAAGTGGTCATATTTTTAATTATGTTGATTTTCTCACTTAGAATACAAAATTAAGAAGAATTCTTAAATAACTTCTATCTTTTAATGTAAATCCTAGTTGATAATAATTTTATAGCCTTAACCTTATATATATAAGAATTTTAATGAAACCATCAAATAATTTTAATGTTCATTTTTATCTCTATATTTTCTAAAATTCAATCCTATTCTATTGTAACTATTAAAATTCAATGAATATAAATCATACATAGGAAATGAGAATAGTTTATAGATTGAAATTCATTATTTTCTGAAAAAAATGAATTTCAATCTATATATGTTCTAATTTAACATAGTTAAGAAGAGATAGAAGGTCTAATATAATCATTATAATTAATCATTTAATTTTTACTTTAACTAATAGTTAATTCATAAAATGAAATTCATATGTTTTTCAAGTGTAATACCATGTTTAATTTTCATATGTTACATTAACGATCCTTCTGAACCATAAGATTTATTGCAATTTTTAATCTAACAAACATGACTTCTTGGAATCTCAACAGCTGATCTTCTATTTCTTTTTCTTTTGTCATCCATAGATAAGTCACTTTCTTAATCTTCTAAAGCTTAAAATTTCTATAATTTTTGCTTAATTTCATTTCTTTCTTGAGTGATTTATTCAACCTAATATAATTTTAGGAAACAAATTCTACATGTTAATGAAGAACTATATTATAATAGTATAATCTAATTGATTCCTTGTAGTAATCAAGGGGATGTTATTATTCTTATTCATTGATTCCTTCATTATTTGACATTATTGTTTAAATAAATATAATTGCTTTCTTTAATATATTGTTAGATGTAAAATATAATACCAAATTTTTATTATTAAAAATTCTTTATTTATTTTCATATTATTACTTAATAAGCATCCATTTATAAATAAGCAGTTATGACTATATAAATTAATAAAAAAAAATAAATCATAAAGTTTATTATCTAATCTTATATTTAATTTTGATTAATTTGTTATTTCTTGATAATTTAGATAAACTTAATTAATACTTTTTAATTGAATATTGACATATTTTATTATAAAATAAAATAAATTTTTAGAAAATTTCAAATACTAGAATCAATCCATCTTAGTTTTTATTTATTAAAATAATAAAGATATATTAATGATTTGTAAAAATATAAAATATATTTTAGAATGATTCAATAAACTAAATTAAACTTAAGTATAAAATTTAGAATTGTAATTAATATATGATTAAAAAAAATACTTATAATTTGATTATAAACAATTTCATTGTGTTTATCTAGACAAATTCATTAATCCACAACCAATACAAGAAAATACTGAATCTTCTATATTGAAAGTGACACCAAATATTGATCTAATAATCCTTAGAGTTTCAATAGTGTGGGTGGAAATTCTACCTAATTTAATTTGACTCACTTTTCTTTAACTAATTGCCATCATTAATAATGCAAATTATTATTAAGTAGTATCAAAACATCCACAATTTTTAATTTCATCTAATAATCTTAATGCAGCAGTTTCTCCAACTTTCTCTGGATTATTAAGATCATTTGAATATTCACAATCACATGAAATAAATAATCCATTAGTACTTTCTGCTACTAATGATACAGCATATCCATTTTGAAATTCTATCCCTTTTTATGATTTTTATAAATCAGTGTGAATCCAAACATCAGGAATATAATCATTGAATACATTTCTACATTAACTTACAACACGATTCAAAAGATTAGGTGCCACTTTACTTCCTGAACAAACACCTCTAATTTTACATATAGGTCCTCTCTCAATAATAGTTGTTGCTTATATCTATTTTATTGGTTTAGAATGCAAACTATAAATATAATAATTGAATAATACATTATAGTACCAGTTCCTGCTAAAAATCCCCTTCTAGTTACTTTTAAAGAGACATCCCAATCGGGACAGAATTTCTTTATTAAAGGTATATATGCATTAATTATGGAATCAACAGATTAATCAGTTTAATCATTTGTTATACCATTTAATTCTATATTAAGAGGTGCTTTGCCAAATAAACTCAGAATCAATAATATTTCTAAATAATATGATATAGATCTTTCAACACCACAATTATAAGTTTGTAACATACCATCTTAATTAGTTATAATACCTATTATTAATTTAATATTAAACCTGGTATATAAATTATTCCTTTTGTATTAACATCAATCTTACATCCAGTTTAGATTAATTGCAATAATTTTAACATTGTTTATAAATGAGGTCCTGGCTTATATATATTGATATTGATTTTACATATTATTAAAACTCTATTTTAACTGCTCTCTCACTTAAAGTTGAACAGAGTAGAATTTCTCTAAAATTTATCACTTATTAAAAACTAATCATATATAAATTAATGACAAAATATATTTTATTGAAATCGTTGCTTTAGTCAAACAATTAAATTGCTCTATTTTTATTAATTAAAAGGAATATAAAAAATGAAATAGGAATCTGTTCGAAATGGCACTTTTTATCAAAAATTTATTAAAGCTAAGAATTAAATTTATTATTCTCATGTACTCCAATAGGTCACAATCATATAGAAAGAATGACTCTTTAAAACTTTATCCAGTAAGTCCAACTGAATCTCATCTATAAGAATCAGAATACAAATATTTACCTTTGATTACAAGAGTTAGTTAAGAATAATTAGACCCAAAGTGGTAGGAATGCAAAATAGATGGTAAAAATCTCTTACCGAGATCAAGTTCATCAATAACTATCTAAAACAATCAGTATATTAACATAATAACTCAGTTTATATTTATATGGAGGATATTAGTATGCAATAGGTATTATGAAAGACTTCTATAAACTTAATCTGAATGCTCAAACTTATGTATGGTAGAAAATTAAATGTGATTATGAACCAGGACCACGTTGCAGACATTCCATTTGTAGTTATTAAGATAATATTTACTTATTTGGTGGATAAGTAGCTGATTCAATTTCAACAAATGAAATATTTATTCATGATGTCAAAAAACAATAATGGCAAAAATTAGAAATTAATAAAACATATCCATAACCTATGGATAATCATTGTGCAACATTATATGAAGATTAATGGATTGTTTTTGGAGGTTTTTATAGTGGTAATGAATGTAAACACTCAAATGATTTATTCAGTTATAAATTTAATGAAAATAGATGGATGAGATTAAATAAATAAAAAGGAATGGAACCAGCACCTAGAGATGGTAGTTCTATAACTAATCATAATAAAAGTGTATATATATTTGGAGGTAAAAATGGAGATTTGAGGTATAATGATCTTTGGCAATTTGATATGTTAAAATTAGAATGGATATTTATTGCTATAAACAGTTTTAATAATATTCCTATGAGTAGATCAGGACATTCATTAATTTCATATTAAAATAAATTAATTTTATTTGGAGGTATTCATGATGTAACATGGGAACTTGATGATTTACATTGTTTCAATTTGGATCTTTAAGAATGGAAAACAATCAATTTTGATACATCTAGAAGACAAGAATTAGAATTACCTTCTCCTACAAAAACTAATAGAAATCAACCAAGATAAAGGAAACTAAAAAGATTACCTATCTTACTTAGACCTTTAAGTTTGAGAAAATCTCCATGTCCTTCACCAAAAAAACTTCGTCCTGGTTCATAATCATAATATTCATCATATTCTATTAATAATCAAAATAATTTTGCAAGTCCTGATTTAAGTTAATGTTAAAGTAATTAAAATAATTAGAATAATTCTACTGTTCATACAACTATGAATAATGTTTAGGAAAGAAAAAGATGGGAATAATAAAAGAAAAAAACAGCCATGTTAAAATTATTTGAAGTTGAAAATAGAGAAATTATGAATTTTTAAGATGATTGTAATGTTGCTGAAAAATTAAAGACATCAATTATTTTAATTGGAAATCCTAAATAAGATTTAAAATTAAAAAAAGGAATATTAACAGAATTTGGATAATAAATTATATCAAAGTATTTATAATTTTTAATAATATTTAGATTTCTATAACCATTAACAGGAGGATAAAATACTATTAATGGAAAGAAACCATGTGCAAGAGATGGACATGCAGTTGCTGTATTTAATGATTCTATGATTACATTTGGAGGTGATAGACATACAATGTCTTTTAACGATTTGTATTTATTGAATTTGAATCACTTTTGAAACTTGTAATTGATTTTAATTTTCATTTATATATATATTTTACATTAATAATAATATATATAATAATGAATTCTAGAGAGGAAGATCATTTAAATTAAGTTGATTTAGATCAAGCATATGATATACCAAATCAATAAGGAAATTTAACATAAAAAATAAATGAAATTCAAGATATTGCAGCTGAAAAATATGATGACATTAATCATATTATCAATTATGAAATGAGAGTAATGTAAGAAAAACTAGGATTTAGAGGAGAAAGACCTTAAATTTACTAATAAACAGCTCTATTTGTAGCTGTAATTTAGTTAATAATAGCAACATTTTTATCAATGTTAATTTCATAAACAACGTTTTTAGGTCAAGCTTGGACATTTATACCTTGGATCTAATATCTATTCATTTTAATCTATCTATTTACTATTCTTAGTATTCAATGTTTTTCAGAAAAGATATAAGAGGTAATACATTCAAATTCAAATGATAGACAAGATATAATTTTGGAATATGTTGTATTCATGCAGTCTCAAAAATTGTTTTAATTGTTTTTATATCAATATGGTTCTTTGATATTAGAGTGGAAATATTTTTAGTAGCATTAGTTGCAATTTAAGGTTATATCACTCTTAAAATATATATTCCTACTCAAAAGCATGAAGAGTTTGATTTAAAAGTGAAGAATTTATGGAAAAAGATGACTATTTTTTAACTTTGTGTTTCAATTTTCTTAGTATCAATTCCTCTTATTCAAGATGTATTTTACAAGATCAACTTATATAGTTGGACTATTAGTCTTTGTTTCAACTCTTTTGATAGGAATTTATACTATATTGTGTTTTAAAAAGATTTAAAGAATATTCATATTTTTCATTTAATTCCAATGATCTATATTTAGGGGCTTTATAATTAGAAGCAGATATGTTTTTACCTTGTTTATTGATTGCATTTCAATAAAGAAATATAACTTAAAGTCCTTCTCAACATTCATCAATTAATAAAAGTGAAAAAGATAAAGACAATAAGAGATAAGATTCAGAATAAAGAATAGCAGTACAATCTATAAAGAGTATTGCTGATTGATAAAAAATGTTATTATTTCATATTATTACATATAAAATATAGTATTGAAAATATGAAATAAAAAATTTATAATTAATTTCAAGCTATGGATATATCATCTTATTAATTTTGTTCTGTTTTACAGATTTCAGATTTTGAATCTTCATTATTCTCAGAATAAGTTACTTCTAAATCTCCATTTTATTGTACTACTATAGATTTATCTTAAGTATTATATAGTATTTCTTTAATTCCTTTACAAATTTAATCAGCTGTCAATCCCTATTATAAATGTTATTCCATTAAACCATCTAAATCTTTTAATTTTACATAATAAAAATCTCTTTCACATTTCAAAGTTTCAATTTATAATAATAAATCTGTCATAGAAGCTTATCTATTTTCTTTATTAGAAAAATCATTATTTAAAATTTAGATTGTTGAAAATGAGGAATTCTTAGATAAATTTTGAATGATTTATTGCTATAAATTAATTAAATATTAGAATACATCTTTAGTATTATTTTTTGTTAGAACTTTTGATTTTGATTAATTTCTAATTTATTTTTCAGGATCTTCAAAATCTTAATTACCTCTTTTTGTCAATGGATCATAGTCTTTTGGAACATAATGAGTGTCAACATATTTTTTCATCCATTAAAGAAATTCAAGATTATCTTAATATTTGCATTTAGTCAATTTTTCAATTTCAATAGGTTTTTACAATCCCAATTTTGTAAATGCTTATTAAAGAATTTTAAAATTATTAACAAATTCATATTCTTATTTTGCTCTCCAATTTACTTTACTTAATTGGACTAACCATTAAAAAATTAAATACTTTTTCCTGGATGAACTGCATCAATAAGTTAACAATAGATAGCCCCAGTTCCTAATTATTCAATTTTATTTATAGTGGTTTTTAGTAAATCATTAACCCATTATAATAACTCAGCTCTTGATATTTCTTAATTCATAACAATTTAAATTCAAATTAATATTTAGGTTAAAAAATATATATATATATATCATTAATCTCTCATATTTTCAAGTTATTTTTCTAATTTCTTATATTTGTTATCATTTATAGAATTCAATAACTTCATTTCATAACCATTACTTCTATCAACACCATCCCATCTAAATCCAGGTAATATATTGAATCTATTGATTGGAGGTGGAAATTTACATTTTAGTAAGAAATCAGATTACTTTAATGTAATTTATTTATCATCTTCTTCTTAAATCATCTTTCTCATTGGATCATCAAACTTCTATTGACCCATTAATTGCATATCAATTTATTTTATCTATTCTTCATTCTTAGTTACTAAAGCTTATTGAGCATCTTCTTACTTCTTCTATTTCTCTTATATTTAAACAAGTCCTTTAGACCACATTTCTATTTGTTATTTATTTGCTTATAGAATTGCCTATTTATCTTCTTTGGCTTTCAATCTTGGATTTAATTATTTCTCTTATTCAACTCTTTAACTTTAAGTAATTCTCTAACCCGTTTTAACATCTCTGTGAATAACTTCTTAAGGTTTAGGTGCTCTCTCAACAGACATATCAGAATCAGATTTACTAGAAGAATCATCAGACTCTGAATCTGAATCAGAATCAGATGAACTAGATCCTTAACTATTGCTTCTACTTCTTTCTTTATTCATCATCTATTTGAGAAACAGTTATTTCTTTTATTTATCAATAAGTATAGATTCTGATGTTTCTACAAATATTGGCTATTATTCCAATTCATTATAGTTTTCTTTACTTATCACTCTTCCCATCAATACATCAATATTATCTTGATCTTTAATATTATTTTGATAAGTAACTTTTGTTTTCGATTGTCCATTATCCATATATTTCTTTAAGTATGAGAGTTTATCCATTATTGATATATATATATTTTATTATTATTTATACACTCATTTATCATTTTTACATGTAGGGTCTCAATTTCTATTCGGATACTTACCAAAACTTCTCAACTAACTGTTTATTTGCATATTATGGTTATATTATTTTTCAATCTGAATAATATTCCCATATCCTAATTTATCATAATCTTCTAAAGGGTATTACAAACTAGTCTAAGCTTTCTATTAACATAATCTTAGTAAATGTAAAAGAATTAAGAGTAATTGATTTAAAGATTAAATTAATATTGAAATTTCCTACAATCTCTCTTACTTTTATAATAGAAGATCAAAATTTAATATAATTATAAAGTATATAAATAAATAAATAAATAAATAAAGAAAATAAAATTTATAGATTTACTTATATGAATTAGCTAATAATTGAAAATATAATGAAAGATATATAACAATCACAACAGATAGTTTTTCCTAAAATATAATTTATTCTTTATTCCTTAAAGTATTAATGAAAAGATTTTATAATTATTTATTAATTAGATGAATTCTAAAATACATTTGATAATTACAAAATAAATTTATATTAAAATATGTTTCAATAACGATTTGATTATTTAAGATTGCCTGGCTTTGTAGCAGATAATATTATATTAGATCGTAAACAAGATTATTATTGATTCATAGCTGGTAGTATAAAGATAGGAGTAGGTTAAAATGCAATTAGAAAGATTTTCAAGGTGCAAGATTATGATTAATTTGAAAGAATGCAAATAAGTTCGTTAGCCTAAGCATTATAAAAGAATTAGAAATATGATGCAAATATTCACACAGATGATCTTTTACTTAGATATCTTTATGCTAATAAATTCAATATTTAAGCCTCAGTTGATGTAATTATAACAATCATTCTAGCAATTAGTTAAAACAAATGAGATACTATTCTAAGCTGGTTATATGAGACTTGATAAAGAAGTGGAGTAATTATATGTAAATAAATAATCTAAATCAATAGTTTAAAGGAGCACTATATATAGAGGGAAGAACTAGATAACATGTTCCTTGTATTGTAGTATCTACAAAGTTGGTTGATGATTTGGCATTATTTGAGAGAGCAGCAATTATTTTATGTGCCATAATTGAGGATTATATGTTTTATAGTGGTAAAGTGGAATCATGGATAGCTGTTATTTAAACTAAAGATTAAAGTGCTTACAAAATGCCATTAGATAAAATATTTTCTATTATTAAGATATTGTAGACTTGTTTCCCAAATACTTGTGATGCAATATACATTCTTAATGCTACTTTATCTATTAATCTACTTTGGTCATAAATTGAAGGTAATAAATTTCATATTAAATAGAATATATAAGTCCTATTACTCTTGGCAAAATTAAATTTTTGAAGGATAAAGAATTACCTATATTATCAAATTAATTTCATTCTGAGTAACTTGAATAATCATTAGGAGGTGAAAAGATTTTATAATCATATTGGCCACCAGATCCTAATGATTATATGTATGATTAACCACCTTAATAATAACAACCATTTTATGAGTATGAAGAATAACCTTAGGTCTTCTTTTCAGATAATAATAATAATCTCTAATACATGAATGAAGCACCTATTTTACATGAAGAAATTCCACCACCTATTCCTGTTTCAAAATAACCTGAACATATATAAGAAGATATTGTTCCAATTGTCCCTGAAAAAAAGAAAAAATGCATTTGTGTCAAATGTTCTAGAGATTTAGAAAATTTAAATTCTTAACCTCGTGAACGTTAACCTTCTGAACCTTAACCTGTAAATAAACCTATAATAAAATAATAAGAGCCATAAAAATAAGTTATTTAATAATTGGATGATACTTATATCCCATATGAAAGAAAATATGATAGTTTCATTAATGATACTAGTTTATTAATACCCAAAACAATTAATGATACTATTTAATAAGATAATAAAGATGAACAATAATTTGGAGGTAATTCTTTCAATAATTCTTAATTATAACAATTTGGTCAATAACCTGAATTAAATCAAAAGTCTAATAAACCATCATTTACAAATCCATTTTATAATGCTGATTCAATGTAAGGGTCTTAAAAAATAGAACCAAAATAACCTCCAATAATTTCAAATAAAGTTAGTTAAGAGATATAAGCTAATATGGATGATACAATAATTGATGATAAACCAGATTATTAACCTAAGTATGTGAGTAAACATAGTAGACCATATTAATCTAATAATTTTAATTAACCATCTCAATCAAGTCGTATAACAAATAATATACCCAATCTTTACAATTTACAAAATATTCCTAGTTATAATCCAATTAATTATGCATAATATTCATAATAACCTGTTGTCTAATCTTAATAATATATACCTACTCTCTAAACATAAACGTAGAGTCAATAATACATTAATATAGAACCTTAATTTTAACAATACGATGTTATTTAATAACATCCGGTATAAGTGCAAGACTTTGAAAATACTAATTATAATCTAAATTAATCCTATCATGCTCCATAACTTTCTAATGATCCAAAAAAAAAATATGATTTTAGTTAATGGGATAAGTATAATGATGGTAATGATACTGTGCCCATGTAACCATATGTCCCAATATCAAACACTTATACAAGTCCTTACATATAATAGAGTCCAATACCCAACTATAATATAAATGAAGATTATAATAAGATAAATGATAATCCAATTGATTACAAACCTGGTGATTTTAGACCATCAACCTATAACTTTACTCCTTATGATTATAGATATAGTGATTAACAATTTTAGCCAAATACAACTAAAGAGAGTGGGTATGAATATAATTATTATAATTTAGAACATAATAATTATATCAATAAAAACCAGGATAGTAAGCATGTTAAATATTTTGATTGATCAATATATAGTTTGAATTAACTATTATTATGATGTTTACTCCATTCTTACACTACCATGATAATCCTCATAAAATTAAACATCATCTAAAATCTCTGAGAGATATTATTCCTTAGAGTTCTTATTGAATTAAGTATGTAAAATTAGTCTTCTATTTTTGAAACATCAATAATAAATCTAACATTTTTGTGTCACCTGATATTATCAAAAGTTAATTAATATCTAAACTAATTCTATTATAAGTTATCAAGTATCAGATCTTTAGATTTGAATAATCCAATCACACAATTATTCTCAATTATAGGAATCATTGAATATTCCTTTAATTTTAATTTCCTTATTATACTCTTACAAATTGGTTCATCTTGCTAAATATAACATACTTGATGGATTGGTTTAATAAGATTGATCATAAATTTATTTCTCAATTCCATTACTGAAACTATAATTTTTAATTTTTCTGGTTTTATCACATCCTATTGCTTACATATCTTCATTAATTATTGAATATATTCCAAATGATACCTTTTATTTTTTGTACAAACTAAAGGAAAAGCAAATTAAATATAAAATTGAAATTATAGACTTTCTCTAAGGTATAATGAAGGATGCTATTCTAAATTAATGTTTTCCTGTCATTATTGCTTATGGAAATCAAAAATGCAATCCAATCACTTGTAGGATTCATTAGCCAATAAATTTGCTACCAATAAAGTTGATAATAAGATATGAATCTCTTATTTATTATTATTATAATACCCATATTTTATTCCTTTTCATTTCCATATCTCAGCTTGGCTTCTATTATTTTTGATCTATTGATAATATACCTTAAGTAGCTCCACTGCAAAAACCTGAAAAAAATATTAAACAATTTATGGATAATTTATTATAATACAAACTTATCATTCCATAGAATATATGATTTTCTATTTCAATAATTTCCGAGTCTAAAGCAAAGCAATTCCCTATCAATCTGAAATATAAAATTATTCTAATTATTAGAAACATTTTATAATAATTATTATTTTCTCAGAATTCTCTAATTTTAGATTATATATATAAATATTGAATAAAAGTAAAAATTTGTTTATATATCATATGTAATGTCATTTAATAGTGGATTTAAGAAAGGTAAATTAAGACAATTTTGTTTGAATTTAAATAATACATCTTCTTCAATCATAATAACATTAGAAGATTATTAATATAAGTTGTTAAATATATATAATCAAAAATTGCCTTATATTGTAAAATTAAAATCTAATATAAGATATATTATTGAATTTATTTTAAGAATATGGGTTCCACCTGTTGTAGGTAATCTGAAATCAAAATTGCTAATCAAGAATCTGAATTCATGGATATCTTTGATATGAAAATTGATTAAGAAATTTATCCCTTAAAAGTTCATAAAGGCTTCAGAAATATTCTTAAAAAAAAGAAGTAAATGAAGTAAATTGATGAGGACTCCTCTCTTACTTTTCTCTAAAATGAATTGAGTAAATATACTAAACATCATGATTTCAACTAAACAATTATTTATTCAGAATATGTGTAATAATAAGAAAACGTGTAAATTAAAATACAGAAGCTGAAAAGCATAATTAAACCTCGTACATTATATCATTCGACATCATCTAGTACAAGACCCAATTCTTAATTAAAATACTAAGAAAATTAATTTAAACGAAGATAAAGAATACGTTCTGAAAAAAAAGTAAGGTTTAAGATTCCAAAATAACATAAGAAACCTTCACATTCTTGCTCAATATCAAATTATAGATCTGGAATTCAAATAAATTTAATTAACTGTCATCAAACTCGAATTGGATTATTTTGATTAGTCTAAGAATTAAAAATTGAGATTAATCAATTTTTTTTCAAAAATTTATTCCTTTTAATATTTATTTGATATTTCTCAATGTAATATATAATTTAAAAGTGAATTTATTTTTAATTGAATACATAATCTTTATCTTTATTAATGAATTACTCAATTTATTATTAAATTACTCAAAAGTACAAAAGCTGAATTGTATATCTCTAAATATATCTAGTTATACTAAATTATATATAGGAATTTAAAATTATATTGAATATTAACCAATCGTAATGAATCATTTTTATAAATTATTATACTAAAATTTATGGGTGCAGTCTGTCGCTATTAGTAATAGGGCTCTGAAACTTACTAAAATTAAGAAATACAAGGATTTCTCCCTATTTCAAAAGAGTTAAAACCAAAATCTATTAATAACAGTATTAAGCATGATTTAAAGGCTAAATATCAAGAGATTGATTGTCACATTTGCAATAGACCTCAAATGATAGAAAATGCTTCTTAAACGTAACTTTCGTTTTACAATATTACTCAATTTGCCACTTTAAAGAAGAATAAGTCAAAACCTTAGAAAAACAAGAAAAAGTAAAAAAGCAAGGATAAATTAATTTTTGACAATTTTAAAACAAATAAACAATGTTCAGTAAGTCAATCATCATAAACCTAAAATAAACTATAAAAATATTAAACTTGCAAGAATTAAGTAAAAGAAAAACAATAAGACTCTTAACAATATGTAGTAATGATTAACTCTCAAATTTAATCAATATCTAATAATGTATGTTAAAAATAAATAAAAAATTGACAGAATTTAGTAAAAATGATATTTTATAGATCTAAATTTTAAATATTTATATATGAATTACCTTAATCTTATTAAATAATTTTCCATTTTCTAATAATAATTTTACAATCAATAGTTATTGTATTTATTAATAAATGTAGATTTAGACATTGTTTCAGAAATTTTTTAAATACTGATTTTTTTTATTTCAAAAACATTTATTAGGTATTTCAAAATTTAATCTTTATCTAAAGGTTAATAAATAAAAAAATTTCAATAATAGGATTGAAGATAAATAACTCATGATATTACAAAAACTTAAGCATTAATTTCTCTTTGATCAAAGTATATTAGTTAAATTATATTTATACTAAATAAATAGATATTAATTGTCTTAGATAATATTTTGAATTGTAACCTCAAATTAATGTGAAATAATATTAACCAAAACCAAATTAAGAAAATGGTTATCAAAAAAAAAGGAAAAATAAATAATTATATTTTGGATCGTTTAGTTCAATATGAGTGAAGAAGATAATAATTGATGAGTGTTTGATTTATCAAATATATTATATAAATATAACATAAAATGCTTTAAAAACAGATGACTAAGGTTATTAGTATTCAGATATTTAATTAATTAAAAGCAATCAAATAATACATTAACATTTAATTGTAAATAAACTTAGTTGAATAAATATTTAATAAAATAAAATTACATAATATTATTATGTAAAAAATATAAGTCTTAGTTTTATAGTTAAAATTCAGAATTATAGAACATAATCTACTTTATAGCTTTTATTTTTGATTATAATTAAAATAATTAAGAGATAATTAATGATTTATTTTGTTACAATGATCAAGAATATATTATGATTAAAATTAGATATAGAAATTAAGCACATTTTCCAGAATCTGTTTTTGTTTTAATGCTGAAGAATTATATATTTAATTGAAAAAAAAATAAGAATTGAAATAAAATTTATATTAATTTATTTATCAAATGGATCCCAATGCATAAATTAATGAGAGATATACAAAATTGTAAGAAAAATTGAGTACACTTCAGTTTGAGGTTGATACTACAAAAGATGCAAAAATAGATGAAATTTATGATAGAATCAATAATGCTTAAAGTGAATTGAAGGATATTATCAATAATTACAGTGAATAACTTGTAATATTTTGTTGTAAATATAGGGATAATTGACAAACCAATTTTCAGATCTCAGTAAAAAATTTGATAAGCAAAATGAATAATATAGTAATTCACATGAAAAAAAACTTAAGGAGATTAAAAATTTGGAGAATAAGTTATAGAAAAAGTTAGAAGATGACATTAAAACAAATAGAGAATAAAGTGAATAAGTCCTCTCAAACTATGATTAATAAGTATATTTCTTAAAATTATAATATTAAAGGTCTAAGATTTATTATAACAAATAGGATAAGAAATAAAAGTTAGAAATCAATAGGTAAATATAATAAATACAACTCTTCAAAATGATTTACCTGCATTATGGTAATATAATGTTTAAGAAAATTAAGAAAGAGTATAAGAGGATTAAGATATTGTCAAAAGAGCTAGTAATGAGATTTCTAAACTTTTTGAGTAGGCAAATTAAGGAAAATAATAGAGGTATACTTAATCATATTATTAAAAGAGAGGATGCGGAAATGAGTATGTTTTCAATGTTGAAGGAAGTAGTAGTAAGAATTAAGAGTGAATTAGAAGAAGAGAGATAACTAAGAATGGATGGACATGAGGCTTTATTATCAATACTTGAAGAAGCTTATGAGAAAATGGAAGAAACACATGCAAAAGTTTAGTAATAAAAGGCTGCTTTACAAGAAAAATGAAATATAATATTATGTTCAATTTTTATAATATTTGACAATTTTGTATTCTATTAAAAATTAATAACAAAATTGTTTAGTTATTTAAAATAATATCAAAAGACAAAATTTGATGTCAGAAATTAATTTATTTTTATAATAGAAAAACTTTAAGTGAATATTTATTTGAATAAAAACTAATATTATGTTTTAAATAAAATATCAAAGATAAATAATTAGATTTAAGATTGCAATTATATTTTGTTTCTTAATATTATATATGTATAAACAAGTTTAATAATAAATTAAAATTAAAATAATGAATTTTTAGTTTTAATTTTAATTTATAAATTTACTTATAGATTCTATTTGCATTAAATATAATATTAGCAATAGATAATATAATTTAATAAAAATGAATGATGTTTCAGCAGCAGGATTCAGACTTCTAATTTTGATTTTAACCAGTTGTTGTTATTGTTTATGGTTTTGAAGGTTAATTATTTGTAGGAGGATTTGCAGGTTTACTTTATATTCCAATAGATCCTATTTTGATTCCATAAATCTTTATAATTTAATAATATATATTACTTCTTATGTTGGATCAATCTCTCCACTTCCAATTTTTGCTAAGACTTTATTTGCCATAGACTCAAATACAGCATCAACATTTTCTCCTGTTTTTGCTGAAGTTTCAAAGTAATCAAACCCAAATTTCTAAGCAAATTTCTTTGCTTCTTCAGTTTTTACTTCTCTTCTAGAATATAAATTATAAAATGTATTACCTTTCTTCTAAATCAATTTTATTTCCCACAATAACCATTTCAATTTTATCACAAGCGTATCCCTGAATTTCATTGTGCCATTTTTACACATCCTCAAAGGACTGTCTATTAGTAACATCAAAGACAAGAATTCCACCAATAGATCTATAATATTAAGATAATTTATACCCTCTATAATAAGAACGCGTAATAGATTTAAATGATTCTTATCCAGCCTATTGATTAATTATGATATAATACAGTGTCCCAAATTTATAATTTGATTTACTTTTCATTTATTTTGAGATTTCTTGATCCAAATTCTACACCAATAGTTGCATCATGTTCATTTCTAAATCTAGAATCAGTGAATTATAATAGTAAACAGCTTTTACCAACATCTTATTATAAATTAATAGATTACTAGTGTCTCCAACAATAATGAACTTAAAGAGATAATTGTAAATATTCATAATAAATTTATTTATTTAAATTTATTATTGCTTCGTTATTATAGAAATAATAATTAGGAAATTTCTCCTTTTCTCATACAACAACATTATATTTTATATTAATAATTCTCATTCCACAAAATCATTTCTCATCTATAATAAAATTATACTCTATTAATTGATCAATTATTCCAATTTTAAACTAAAGAACAATAATTTATAGAGTTTTAAATATTTTCTAAGAAATTCAAATTGTGATTAATTTTTTTGATAAACATTAAATATTCTAATTTCTGCATAATATCTTATTTAATATTTATTTGTTTTATAAAGAAGAATCGACAGGATGTCTGAGGATGCCGAGTAGAGTTTTAGAGTTAACGAGATAATTTGGGCGAAAGTCTTAGGCTGTAAGTATAATCTAATTCTTTAGATCCATGGTGGCCTGCAAAAGTAATTATACAATAATCATCTTATAGATTGCTTCAATTACTAATGTGAATGGCAAGAATGGATAATATTGTGTATACAGAGTTAATTTTATTGGAGACACTTCGCAGTATCATTTTAAGTTAGCATTATAGCGCCTAATTAAGATTTGATAAATTGAAGAAATGGAATCCTAAGCCTATACAATTAGAAACTAAAAAGTTAAAAGAATCAATAGATTTAGCTAATAATTTGATTGAAGGACTAGAAAAAGCATAAGAAATTACATTAGGCAATCTAAATGACCATATTTTAAAGGATCTAACTATTAAACTGAATGATCTTGTTTATCATCAAAGTTCTATATAAGAAGTAAATTGATTAAAATTATGTCATAGATCGTTCAAACTTTGAATCTAATAAGCAACAATGAAAAATTATTTATTGTCAAACTAAATTTAGGATAATAATATTTTGCATTGTATTAAGCCTTAAAATATGGGAAAGGGGAGAATTATCTTGAAAATACCTAAGATTTTATTGATTAGTTGAAAGCGATTATTGGTTTCCAATTACAGCAAGAATTCTTGACAATTTAAAAAAAATAAGAAAAGCCTACTCCCAACAGTGATGACACTAAGGAAATCACTGATTCTCCTATTAAGAAAAAGAAAATTGAAGAAATCTCTAAAGATACACTTTGTAATTAACATTGATTTTATATTAATTATTTCTACATATATTTTTTTCTATTTTCTATTACTTTTTATTTTTCACAGAAATGTTAGAAAATGATTTTCAGTAAAAAATAACAAATAAAATACTAATAACTTATCCTCATCTAACAATATTTGAAGCCTTTTATTAACATGCAATATTAACTTCACTTTATTTAATATCTAAAGTTATATTAAATTTATATGTATTACAGTTCCATTTTCAATTTAAATACTATTTAAAATAATAGAACCAATTGTAATTTTAAAGATTCTCCACTTTATGTTTTACTATATAAAATTATACATTAATTAAATTTATATAATTAGAATGCTTATAATTAATTAGTTCAATTGACTTAATTATTTTTCATTTCTTTATAACAAAGTCATAAAGATAGTTTTAGTTATTTAAATCAATTATAAGTTGAATTCTATATATTACAGCCATTTATCAGTAAACAAATTTAAGTTAGGTATATGAAATAGAAATGGATCATGAGATCTTTTAGATCTAAGTATTCAGATATTTCTTTTCCTTATCCATACTATAATTAGATTTAGTAGAATGAAATAAAAATATATATTTGGAACAAAAAAGAATATAGATTAGTAACACATCATTTATTATTTTTCTTTATTTTCTTTAGACACCCTAAAGCCTACCTTAATTTATTCATTCTAGCTTAATTTGTTAGTTTTTGATGATGCATGATCATCCTATTTACTCTACACCTGAATTCATCAATTTGGGTCTTTGATGAATCAAGGAAGTCTTATGGAATAGTATGAAATGCATAGTCTAGCTGATCAAGAGCTTTTTCTGAGCTTTCGAAAAGAACTGACTAAAGTTTTTATTATGGAAGTCTCATAAGAAGTATCAGCATAGTTCTTGATTCTTCGAGTATCTTAGGTTGACTTGATTCTGTAGCCATAGCAAGATGATTTGAATTATTTTTTAAAAATAATCAAAAATTAACCTCAGTCCTGCTTTATTGTTGTAAATAACAAATCAACCTCATTAAATATAATACTTAATAATTATACACTAAAAATAGTTCTCAAATTATAGTAAATAAATGAATTCACAAATATTTAAATTCTCGTTTGTCTTTTTAGAAAATTGGAAAGAGATGGAAAACAAAAAAATGGTTTGGAAACTAAATTTTTAGTTTGAAATAAAATTAAAACAGAATTATTTAATTACTTTAAAATAAAAAAAAATTCTTTTGTTTATTCAATTCTTACTTATATTGATTTACATATTATTTGATAAATAGAGTTAACTTCAATTCTGATTTTGATAAATGATTTGAATAATTATTTTAGAATTAGATATAATTCAAAACAAAATAAAAAACTAAATATTAAATATTGATTTAATATATGGGTTTATTGGAAAAATCTATTTTATTAATCAACAATCTTATTATTATTCGATAATCGTTGTTGTCACCATTCTACTTTTATAATACTTAATTAATTCTTTAGGAGCATATTTAGCAACTTCAGTTGTAAAATATTCTCTTAATTTTGGAATTGTACCATCAGACCTAAATTTATAAAAAATAATTACCTTGGTCTCCATTGTATAGTAGCAATTAACTTACCATTCAAGAAAGATTTTTTGACTGAAACAATTTTGTGTACTTTGTCACCTTACAAAAAATCACCATTCTCAACTTTTGGTCCTAATGAGAATTATTCATCTTTAAAGGTATCCAAACTTAAATTATGGATTTTTTATATTTTAGACAATTTAGAAGTTGTCATTAGATTTTATGTAAAGTCATCTTCTCTCTCATACCTTGTAAAAATATCAATTAGATGATCTAAATTGTTATTATATTTTGAAATATGCTGATCAGCATCTAGAATTTCTAATTTTGTTTTCTTTCTCTACTACTCTTCCTGTTATTCTAATGTTTACTTTTTTCTAGTATTCTTTTTCATTATTTATTTTATTTGCTTATAGCGGAAAATTTTTGTGTAAATTTAATTATAAAATACATACAAATAATTTTCCAACAATATGTATAAAATATGTGTAGACCACTATTATAAAAACTAATTATATAAGATGATTTACTAAAATTGAAAATATATTTTGAATTTCAAATAATTGGAATTTGTTTATTTTTACATAATATAAAAATTTATAATATTATAAAAAGATGTTCAGATCATAAGAAATGAGTTATTTTTAATTAGTAATGCCTTAAGACAGTGCATGGACTATTATGGATTAATTGGGTTATTTAAGTAAAGTGGAAATTATTGATCATAATCCTAATGAAGCCTTAATTAATAGACCATTTGCAAATTATGTTAAAAGGTAAATCATATCTGCCAACCCTATAGATGCGATGACTTAATTGTAAAAATAGAAAATATGCTTTAAGTTGCTAAGAATTTAAATTTGCTATCTAATTATAAAAATGGAAATTTGTAATAATTTACCAATAATGTATTCTATATAATTATTGTTTATAGAAAAATTCACATACTCATACTTATCTTGATAAGATTGAAGAAGACATAAACAAAAAAACTTCAATTTTTCAGGAATAAAATAAACATCTTGAATAACTTATAGATCAATCAGAATACATTCAAAATTATATTGAAATTTTAATAGAGAGTAGAAAGTATTTAGGGGAAAATGTATTTTAAAATCAATAAATTTCAAAATTTGAATACTATGTTGGAATACTTAAAAATTTAGAATTATTATAGTATTTAAGTTTAATAGAATAGATTTCATCGTGTAATATTTAGAGTGACAAAAGGAAACTCTTATGTACATTTGAAGAGGATGAATGAGAAGTAATCAATATTCATTGTTTTATTTCCAAATATAGGAAACTATGGAAAATAAAAAATTTAAAAGATTGTAGAACAAGTATCTTAAGGAAAGTTTACATTACCGTAAAGTCTCTTAGAATTAAAAAAAAAATTAAATGAATTGAAAATTAAACAAGCTGAATATATAAATGTAATAAACAATACAGAATATAGCTTATATCAATGACTCAGAAATAACTGTGTTAATGCATATCAAGTATGTTTGTTATAAAAAATGGATTACCACTTATAGAATTTTATAAATTTTATTTAATAAAAGAAAAGGAACTTTACAAAGAGCTAAATAAGTTAAAAATGCATGGTAGATTGTTTCTAGGGGAATTATGGGTGCCAACAAAAGATATTTAATAATTAGAATAAACTATATATGTGATAAAAGAATAGTAATCAAATAATCCTGGAGGTTAATTAGCTTAAAAGAATCCTCCTGATTTTCTTTAGAAACCCACTTATTTTAAATTAAATGAGTTTACCTCCATATTTTAAGAAATAGTCAATACATATGGGATTCCAAGATATCAAGAAATTAATCCTGCAATTATAACAATAATTACATTTCCATTTTTATTTGGAGTAATGTTTGGAGATATAGGTCATGGATTTATATTATTCATGTTTGGATCTTATCTCTGCTTATTTGAGAATAAATCATTCTATAATTTAAGATATCTAATTCTATTGATGGGTTTCTTTAGCTTTTATTCAGGATTAATATATAATGATTATTTGAGTTTATCTTTAAACCTTTTTAAAACTTGTTTAAGATAAGAGAATGAATGTGTATATCCATTTGGAATTGATCCGATGTGGGGAGGCCATTTAGAATTTAATGACTCATTTAAAATGAAGTTAAGTATTATTATTGCATTTTGTCATATGTTGTTGGGTATATCTTTGAGTGGTTTAAATTATTTATTTTTGGAGGATTGGTTAAGATTATCTTGTAAATTTATTCCATAATTATTATTTTTGATATGTACAATTGGATATATGGTATTTTTGATAATATACAAATGGTTGAATCATCTTGAGCCATAAAATGCCCCAAGCATAATAACTACAATGATTTCAATGATTTTGAATTTAGGGAAAATATAAGGCCCTTAAATGTGGGAAGGGAACTCTTAAGACTATGTTTAATATTGTCTCTTAAGTATAATTTTATTTTGTATTTAGTAATAACAATTATCACAATACCTTGGATGTGGTTTCCATCAATTATTAGTCTCTTTTTAAATAATAAAAATCTTTAATAAAATGAAGATAAACGTAAGTCTCAAAGAATATATTATGGATAATTAATAGAAGAGTCAGGAATTGAAATGACCTAATCTCACTCTCATAATCATGATTAGATATATTTAAAATAGAATAAATAAAATGCAGAAATTTAAGACTCAACAGTCCATATTTAATAAAAAAAGGATAATTCACATTAAGATATTGAAGATATGATTGTTCATGAGACTATTGAAACATTGGAATTTGTCCTTGGAGTTATATCAAATACTGCAAGTTATTTAAGATTATGGGCGTTAAGTTTAGCACATTCGCAACTCTCTGAAGTTTTCTTTGAATTATTACTAGTACAACCAATTAATCATGGATAACCAATTAATTTAATGATTGGATATCCATTTTGGGCTTTAATAACATTTGGTGTTTTGATGTGTATGGATAGTATGGAGTGTTTTTTACATTCCTTAAGATTGCATTGGTAATGATTATTTCTTACAATTAGGGTGGAATTTTAGAATAAGTTTTTTAAAGGTGATGGAATTTAGTTTAAGGTCTATTCTTTTAGAGATAGAATTAAGGCCAGTATCAATTAGGAATCATAGTGAAGGATTATAAAATATAATTAATTTAGATAGGATATTTATGATAAAATATCTCTTTATTACATATTCTTTTTTTAAATAAAATTATAATAGATAAGAGTTGATCGATATTAATTAACTATCATTTATAAAAATGACATAAATTAGAATATTATTATAATTGCGTAATTTAATAAGAAGTTCAGAATCTGATGATTTTTCTGTTTTATTATTCTCGAAATTTTTGATTTTATAATTCCATATTGTTCAATTAGATGATAAGATATAAAGCAAATAGAATTAAGATGAAGATATTGATAGAATTCAAATATTTTGAAACATATGCATGTATATTGATAACATAATTTACAATCTTATAATCAGATTTCTAATTATTTATTGTATGATTGTTAATTAAATTTATTAACCAGTTGAATTCATATATTCATATACGATAGGAGGAAAGTAAGAGTAGCATTTGCAGTTAAAAAATTAATTACCTTAAAAGAAGCGAAATCTTACAGATGAAGATAGAAGAAAAATAAAAAAAGAAATATAAAATGAGTTTAATAAAAAGAAAATTTTAAAGAAAAAAATTCATAAGCAAATTATTATAAAAGTAAACCATAAAAAATACTTAAAATTGTATAAGAATAAGTTTTTATTTGTAGATTTAATAAACTAAAGGCCAGAAAAAATAAAGTGAAAAAACTATCATTAGGAAAAAAAAATAAAAATCATAAAGAGAGAAAGAATCTTTGAATTAAATAAAGATGATGATGAATAAGTCAAAATTAAAGATGCCTATGATAAAGAATATGATAAGGGTAAAATAAAAAAAGTTAAGAAGAAGAGAGAAAGTTAAAAATTAGATTTTGATAAAGCATATAAATTAAAATATAATAAATGAATTTAAAAGATGAATAATTTAATGAAGAAATCTGTGTGAAAATAAAGACTTTAGATAATCATAATTTAGATGTTCGAATTAAATAAAGCCAAACAGTGAGTGATCTTAAAAATTTAATCGAAATAGTAACTTGTCATGTTTAGCCAAGGTCTCAACCATTCCATCTTCGAGATAGAGATTATTATTTAAGGGAAGGTAACTTAATAATGAGGATACTTTGATTTCTTTGAATATTGAGGATTAATGCGTTGTTCATTTAGTTGCCAATATGCCTGAATTTGAATCATCTCCTTTAAATAGAGGGTTATCAACTAGTTCAATTGATGAACATGATAATAGAAATAGTTGTATTTATATAGTAAATATTCAGTTGATGTATAAGAGAATAGAAGAAACTCTAGAAAAAAGGTTTTATAGCAAAGGTTACATGGATTTTAATAATTGCCTACAAGGAATTCATTGTAATAAAATGTTATGACATTACATAATCTTTTATAATCATTCAATACAGTGGCTGAAGTTATTGAGCAAGGCTAAATATTTGCTTAGAAAGACTTTGAACTAGGTTAATGGATCGACTTTAAGGATTCCTTTGGAGAATGGGTTGAAGGTTATATTGGTTAAAAATAACAAAATCAAGTTTTAATTGTTCAATAAAATGGAGAAGAATGGATAGGAGTACCATCTAATAGATTAGCATTATTCAGATCTCATACAATACAAAAGACTTATCACATGTCTCCTATATTAAATAATCATGAATAACAATAATTATGGACCTTTAGTGAACTACTTGGTTAAACAGCTATGTTGTTATCTAGAGCTGGAAATATGATGTCTAGATTGGCAGATAGCGTAGAAGACAAATCTATTCCATAAAATAAAAAGGCCGATATGTCTAATCTTATAACTGGAATGATTGAAGAACAAAGAAGAATACAGGAAGAAAAGGTTGAGAAATAAGATGATGTTACATCTCTTAAATCTATGAAATCTATGAAATCAGATAAGATATCTATTGATTATGAAACATCATCAATTAAATCAATGAAGTAACTATTTGACTTAAATTAGATCTGATATCTCTAAATTAACTACTTATTTTATTGGTCATAATCATAATACAATGATGGCTGAAAATATTGCAGAAGAAGAAGAGAACAGTAGTTAGGACATGTCAGTTGATAATCAAAGAGATGTGCCTAATATTTCCAAAGAATTTAAGGAAAATTATGCTTATTATGAGACTTCTTTATTGGCTGCCTAATTAGCCCCTCTATCTGATCGACTAGGAAGATTATTGTAATATTTTTATTTTTATTTTATCTAGAGTTGATTTATCCCCATATCTTGCCTTGAGTGGATCCAATATTAATAAGTATCTTTATGTTATATGAAGTATCTTTCAAAATCATCCTAATTCCAATATATCCAATTTATCCATAATTACTAATGAAGGCAGTTAATATTCAACATAAGCTAAACAATATTATTTTTAAGTGCCCATATTGTTAACACCTTTTGAATTGCATACATAATCATAATAAGGAACATCAGCCAACAGAATTGTAGGAGATAATGTAGATATCTTAAATCACTTAAATAATAATAATAATGGTAGTAATCCTCGTTAAAAAAAAACAACAAAAAAAGAGGAAGAAGAGAAATAACAGTTTGTTACAATATCTAAGCATAAATTAACTTAATCATATCATTTATCATATTAATAATAGTAATAACAATAATAATAATAATAACAATAATAATAATAATAGTAATAATAATTCTAATAATAATAATATTAATAATTTTAATAATAATAATAATAACAATAACAATAATAATAACAATAATATCAATAATATCAATAATAAATAAAGGAATCAAATTTTTAAGTTATAGAATAAGATGATACCTTATAATTATAACAATATTAATCATTGAAGAAAGAATCAACAGATGGGTAAATTAAAAAGAAAAAAAAAGGAAAAGAAGTATCATTTTCAGAATAAATTAATCAACTGAAAAAAGATAAATAGTTTTGATAATTATTATTATATATATATATATATTATTAGATATACAGAAACAATATTTCATTCAATTTTGATTATTTTAAAAAATAGAATTAAAAAATATGATAAATTCTTAATGGATAAATAATTGAATAAAATTCAAATTAATTTGGTTATCATCATAATTTTAAATCATATGAGACATCAATATCAATTACCAAAAATATTTAGTCTATAAATTTGATGAAAAAAATACATTAATTTCTAATCATAATATTAATATAAAATAATAAATACTTATTAATGTCCAAAATATATGAGATAGAAAATTAACTCATAATCAGATTTCCCCCTGGAATAGCAGAGAAAATTAGAGAGTCTTTTGCAAATAATTAATAATTACCCATTACAATTGAACCAAAAATTGGAAAAGGAATGGAATTCGATGTATCAATAAACAGTTTGAAATATTAAGACAAAGGTGTATTAGTTGATTTACCAACGATAACAGAGAGTTATAAATCTAAGGATTATATAAATTTATATAAATCAAATGATATAAGCTAAATGATTTGGGTTGGAAAGACTAGCAATACAAGATAATGTGGAGATAAAGTAGTTTGTGATAGTGGATTAACTCCACCTACTTATGATATTAGAAAGGATTTTCATCGTAAGCAACCTTAAATTGACATTGGAGAAATTCAAAGAGTGGAAAAAGAATTACATTCTATTCAATCAGAGTTCATGAAATAAGCAGAGGAAGAAGAAAATGGATCAGATGATGGAAAAAAAGGAAAAAAAAGATACAATAAGTTTTGATCTATTCAATAAATATACACTCATTAAAAGAGTATACTTAAAAGCTTTTCTAATTCTTATTTGTGTACAGTTGAGGATCCACTTGCTGTTGATGCTGAAGGTCTTCTACCACAAAATGTTAAATATTGATGTTTAATTTTGCCTTATTGATTTAGCAAGGATAAAACCTAAATAAAATAAGAAAAATACATTTTGAATTCTTGGTTCTAAATATTGCCAGCCACCTGAATTTTAATGTTCTTCTTAACAGAATACAAATTCTGCATTCTCGTATTATTAAGCAACAACTCTGAAATGGTCATATGGAAAAGGTGCTAATTATTCTACTCTAAGAATAGCAACATCCTAAATATATTTATAAATATTTACATTTCTTTTTGTCTCCTATCTTTTCTGTAAAATATCATAATAAACTTGACCATAACAAATAATAACTTTTTATATTTCTTTTGGTGCTTTAATTTCTTCATGAGAATCAGGAATTAATCTATGGAATCTAGTTCCTTCAAGAAAATGAGAAATTTCAGAAGTTGCCTTAGAGAATTTGAGTAATCTTTTAGAATTGAATAAAATTAAAGGTTTTCTAAAGTCTCTTCTTAATTATCTACGTAGAGAATGGAAATAATTGGAAGGATTTGAACAAACACAAACTTAGAAATTAGAATCTAAAATCTATCTTTTAATTCTCTATTCTTTCATCTAAAATACAATGTTAGGATCATCATCCATTAATTATAAATATCTTTCCATTCTACCACTAGAATGTTCAGGTCCTTAACCATCTAATCCATGAGGTAACATCATAACAAGTCCTGATGGTACATTCCATTTAGATTCTCCTGAAGTAATGAAATTATCTATCATAATTTATGCTCCATTTGCAAAATCTCCAAATTATCCTTCCCAAATTGTCAAAACATTAGGATTTGATTGAGAATATCCATATTCGAATCCTAAGACTCCATATTCTGATAATGGAGAATTGTAAACTTCAAATCTATTATTTCCCCCAGCAGGTATATAATTCCTAAGTGGATAATATTTAATATCTTTCTTTTGATCATTAATCACAGCATGTCTTTAAGAGAATGTTCCTCTTTCACAATCTTAACCACTCAATCTAATGCTGAATCCTTCATGTAATAGAGTTCCAAAAGCCAAAGCTTCAGCTGTACCAAAGTCTATGCCTTTTCCTTATTCAATAGACTACTTTCTTTATTCATAAATTCTTTTAACTTATGGATGAACAGTTAATTCAGCAGGTAAGTTATTAACTTTCTCATTTAACTCTAATAAATCTTTCAAAGCAACACCTGTATCCTTTACCTTTCCCCATTTTGTAACTTACTAAATTTTTTCCCATGGTTTTGGTACCCAATGTACTTTATCAAAAGTTTCTTTTTAAATGTTTTTATAAGCTGTTTCAAGACTATTATTTAATTTCTTAATTTCATTATTTGCAAAATCATCTGTAATAACTCCATTTTTTCTTAATTATTGATCATATATTTAAAATACAGGTTTTTATTTATTTATGATTTCATACATTTATGGTTAAGTAAATGCTGGTTAATCTTATTCATTATGACCATATCTTCTATATCCAATTAAATCAATTACTATATCTTTTTTAAATTACTATCTAAATCTAACAGCAATTTTAAATATTTCTTCAACAAGATCAGGATCATCAGCATTCACATGAATAATTGGTACATCAATAGCTTTTGCAACATCTGTACAATATAAACCAGATCTACTATCAATTGGAGTTGTAGTAAATCCAATTTAATTATTAACAACAACATGGATTACACCTTCATTTGAATATCCATTTAGATTTTCAAGTTATAATGATTCATAAACAACACCTTAACCAGCCATAGCAGCATCTCCATGAATAATGATTCCTAAACAATGTTATTTATTGCCACAAATATCTTACAATGCTCTAGTCTTACCTTATACAACTGGATTAACAGCTTCTAAATGTGATGGATTTGGTAACATAGTCATTCTAATATGATGTCCATCTGGAAACTATTAATCTCTTGTAACTCCCAAATGATATTTCACATCTCCAATATTACCCCATGATTCTTCTATTTCTTTACTATATTTATTTTAAAATTCTGCAAATATTATTTCTAATGGTTTCTTAAATACATTAGCTAATGTGCTTAATCTTCCTCTATGAGCCATTCCTACAATAATATGTTCAACCTTATTTTGAGCACATTAATCTACTAATGCTTCTAAACCTACAATTAATGTATCTGTTCCTTCAATTCCAAATCTTTTGCTAGTTGTGAATCTATTTTTCAAAAACTCATTAAATAAATCAACTCTAGCCAATCTCTACCAAGTTGCTGTTTATGTTTCCTTACTTGGTTTCCATTATGCTATTCTATCCATTTCTTGTTCAATCCAATGTTTTTATTCAGTTGATACCATATGAATGTATTCAACTCCATATTTTTTTGTATAGATTTAAGATAATCTATCATAGATCTCTCTAATTGTCCACTCCTCCTTAGCTTCCATAAATGGCTAAGAATAGAAATAACAATGTACATAGATAAATGATCTTTAATCCTTATTTCCAAAATAAATTGGGATATCTAATTCTTCTTTCTTAAATCCAAAACTATCCAAAGTCATCTCTGGTCTTGAACCCTTTACTCTTCCATATTCTTTTGTATGAGGTAGATCTAATAGAAAATCACAAAATTAAATTACTTAATGGATCTAAATCAGCCAATTAATGTCCACATACAAAAAACATTCTAAACATATAATAAGTGCGATATAGCAATTAGATTTGTTTAGCATGATCTAATGGATTCAAAGAAGTTGTGCCTTAGACACCTGCTCCACCATTTATCTATTAATAAAAACTAAATGCGAACTTGTTCACTAAAATATTGTCTCCATCCTTCAGGAACTGCTTAAGGGTTCTTTTACCAATGTTCAAATAGCCCACTTACATATGTTGCCGAAAAAGAATATCTAATTACTTTATTTGAGGCTCTTATCATCGAATTAAAGATATTTAATATTAAAAATATTCATATAAACTATATCAAGAATGATTATAATATCATTTTATAATAATTATTTATTGCAAAATAAACATCAAGACTAATTATATATTTATAATAATTCGTAATTTGATCGAAATATCGAATCAAAATTATGAAATATATTTATTATTAAATATTAAATTACGCACTTTTTATCTCTTCTCGATTCATTATCTATAACCCATTATTTTTATTTATTTAAATTCCTTAAAAGTTTTAGACTCATTATTTAAATTTATTTAAGTTAAAAGTTAATCAAAAGAAAATTAATTTATTACTTACATCCTAATTTAATTGAATTTCAAGATTCAGTGTTATTTTTAACTAATTTTAAGAATATAAATAGTAATTTAAATTAAAAATAAATAATCTTTATAAAAAAAGAAAAAGGCTCTTTTGTAAAACGAAAAATAAAACTCATATTGTTTTTTATTTTAGAAGATTTTTCTTATATTTCTTTAAATTCTACATCTTTGTTAGATATTAATTAAGTTATTCTGATCTAATTTAATATAAGAGAATTAAAATATTATTTTTAGTATAGTGAATCCTTAAAAATAAGAGAGGTAATATAAAAAATAACATTAAAAAAATAAACAAAAATATTTATTTCATCTTAACTTGTTGTTGTTTGTTATAAAAATTATATCCTATTTATATAAAATTATTTTTTTTAATCATATCTTCAGTACTTCATTTTGTGAATTGTTGAAATTATTATAATAACTAAAAAATATCATTTTTTAATATTTTACATTATCATTTTATGCTTCTAACTTTATTAATCAAATAATTCTTAGTTATGTTACTAATATTTGATAAATGACATGATAATTATTGAACTAAGTTATAATTTCATATTGAGTGAAGTGTAATAAAGAGATTATTTAAATTGAAACTTAATCCCAATAAAAAATCTAAATATTTGAAGATATAAGAACTTAGAGTACTTTTTATTCTCTTATTATATAAATTATCCAATCAAATTAATATAAAATTGTGAAATTTCATTCTTAATCAAAGAATAAGAATTTTCAATAATAATAATAAAAAACAAATGGCAAGATAATCTAAAACTTAAAAGAAAGCTCCTAAAACAAGTATTTTTTAGTTTAATTTAAATAGCCACTAAAAAAATAACTAAAAAACCAGCTGGTCCAAGATAAACTAGAACAATCAAGGCAGCAGTTGCTGAGGCTTAAGCCACAACTTAACCAAGTGCTGGATAAAGAAAATTACCAAGATAAAACAGAAGAAACAAGCAAGCTAAAAAAGCTCAATCAAAGAAAGCCACATAAAAAAAATGATGGATATATAATTAATAAAATATTTTAACAAAATATTTATTTGATTTCATGTTTTCCAAGTAATAATTACTAGTGAGCTAACCATTACTCAATGATTCGAACAAAAATCTAAACTTGATGATTAAAGATAATGACAATCACAAATTTACTATAAAGATGATATATGAAAAGTATTAAAAACATTGAAATTAGTTAAATTTGCCGATTTATACTTATCTTATAATCTTAATTAAATTCATTTGAATAAAAAAATATGTCATAATTATATTGTTGAGAAAATAAAAAATGACTGCATATATAATAGTTGCAGAACAAAGTTTTTATTTTTTAAATCTTTATAGATATCTCTTTTATTCAAATGAGAATTTATAACCAGATAATAATAAAACTCATTGGCTTTTACAAGACAAGCATAAAAATGTAAATTTGTTTGAATTAATAATTCAATTTTGAGATAATGGTTAATAAAAAAAATGAAAAGATTAGGGATGATAAATCATTTCTAACAATACCTATAATTGAATTACTTATATTGAAGCATTAAAAATTAAATTTGGTTTTAATAAGTCTTTACACTATTTACACTACTTAAATATTAAGAACATTTGAATAAAAGCAAATCTTATTAGTTTAAACTAAGTTTATAATAAAGTAATCTTTTTGAATAAAATAGAATATTAAAAATAATAATTAGATGGATGGAGTAGATTTATGTTCATAATAAGAATAGATGTGAATCTTTAGGATAAATCTAATATAGAAAAGTACTTTTGATATACAGAAGAAATTTCTTATCCTAATATTATGATTTCTAAGCCTTTTCCTTAATAATATGCAAATACGAAATTAAATTTGAAAATAATGATGAAGTAAACGCGATCCACAAATCAAAAATTGTTTAATAAGATTTATTGACAAAAAATTGAATAAACAGGAAAATAAAGTCATTAATCTACTATGAGAGAAATTAGTATTTATAGTTTTATTCTGACCATTCCTTTTAAATAAACAAATAATAATAAGTTAATATTTGCATTAAAAATATTATTATTTAATTTATAAATATAGTTTAGCTTAACTGCTTTATGCTCTTATAAATTAATATGATTAATTTATATAGAAAATAATTTTAAACTTAATCCAAAATGTATTAATCATTTTAAATAATTGGCTAAAGGATTAATTAGAAGATAAATAATTATAATATTTAAAAAAAATCTAGATGTAGATATTTAATTTAATATATAAGAGTAGATTGAATATAGAGATATATTAAATAATAAGAATGATATTTTGTTAATTTTATATTGTATTCAATAAATTTTCATCATTCTAAGCAACCATTTTCTCAAAAATTAAAGTAAAATAAAAATGAGTTTGAATATAATGAAATATTTGGAAAATTAGTTTATCTTCATAAGTCTAGGTACTTATTTTAGAATTTAACACTTTGGAATGAATATGTTTTGTAATTGATGATTTAACTTCTTACTTATTATTAAAATTTAAATTAATAATGTAAGAGCCATTTAAAGTGAGTATTAGAGTGAAACCATATGAGGGAAGATCAAGATTTCTCACTTAGAGAATAGGAAAAGAAACTGTAATATCAAAATAAATCAATAAATAGATTATACAAGTAGAATGTCCAACTTAGACAATACGAGATCCTGATACTTATGAATAAAGATCTTTTGCATTTGATAATGTGTTCAATGATGGAGAGAGTACACAGGATATTTATGATTAAGTAGAGAAATTTAATATATAATTTTAGGCTATATCATAAATGATTTATGATTGTGTCTCTTAAGGATATAATGGAACAATTTTGGCTTACGGGTAAACAGGTTCTGGAAAGAGTTACACAATGTTTGGCAATTTATATGACCCTTTAGTAGAAAATGATGGATTGGTTTCAATGGTTTTAGAATAATTATTCCAAATGAACGTTAAAATTAGTATTTCCTATTTGGAAATTTATAATGAATAAATAAGAGATTTAATTGGAGATTAGGTTGGTTTGTAGTTGAATGAAGATCCTATAAAAGGAGTCATGTTATAAGATGTGCAGGAATTGTAAATTATGACGATAGATCAAGCTAAATCAATAATAATTAATGGCAATTAAAAAAGAGTTATGGCAGCAACTAATGCAAACTAATTTTCTTCTCGATCTCATGCTATAATATAATTATTTGTTGTAAATTAACAATATTAATGCAAATTATCATTAGTTGATTTGGCAGGTAGTGAAAAAGCTAATGTAAATGAAGGTAGTAAAGGAATAAGATAAATGGAAGGAGCTAATATCAATAAAAGTTTATTAGCTTTAGGAAATTGTATAAATATGTTAGCTTGTGATTAATCAATGAAGAAATTTGTACCTTATAGAGATTCAAAATTAACTAGACTTTTAAAAGATTCATTAGGAGGAAATACTAAAACTCTTATGATAGGATGTGTATAATAAGTAGTTTAATGTCACGAAGAAAGTATTAATACTTTAAAATATGCATCCAGAGCAAGAGCTATTAAAAAAAAGATTGTTTAAAATATTAAAATTAATGATATTACAAATTGTAATTGCAATTGTAATTCAGAAAATGTAGGTTTATTATAAGCAGAGATTGAAGCATTAAAATAGGAAGTATCATACTAATGTATTTTATTATTATTATTATTTTAATAGGTTAATTAACAGAAGAAGAAATTGAAATTAAATTAAATTTAAAACAAATTGATTAATTATAACTTTAAAATAGAGAAGGTTTAGAATATTTATTATAATAAATGAATTCTGAAATGATAGATGAAGATAGATTGAAAAATGAAATTCTATAATATGAAAGAGCAATTAATGAAAATG